ACAACTTGCACCACAAAAATCACAGATGCTCAGCTTCGTGATGAATCCATTCTGCAAAAACATGATTCTAAAGCACGGATCCTTATGCATCGTTGGGATTTTCATGTTTGGACATCCCAAACATACCATTAAATCCCATATCATGTCCATGGCCACAGCCTGCACCACAAAAATCATGGTGCCACGCCTCTGTGGCAACACCATGCTACAAAAACATGGTTCTGAAGCACAGATCCTCATGGATCTACCCCGCCCTCCCAGCCAAGGCCGGCTCTGGGCGGCTTACATAAAATCAATACATAGTTTACAATAAAACATGAATATAAATCTAGATTAAAATAGTTCTAAAATCATTAGCTGTACAACATCGTAAAGTGTTAGTGATATTAATTCCAGATGGCTGCAATTATTCAGTTCATTCTTCTCACAGTCGGTTCTTCGGTCTTCTTTTAATTATCCTTCCAGCAGCTGAATCAAGCTGTTATTAAAAGTTCCGGGGGAACAAAGGACTCTCTCACCTTCAGCTCTCAGTTGTTAGCAGTGGTGGTTAACAGTGGTGGCGGCTCAAAAAGCCTGGTGGAAGAGCTCCGTTTTACAGGCCCTGCGGAATCGCCTTTTCTGGATGGGTTTGCACTCCCCCCTAAAGCAACACAGAACATAGCTTGGAGGTGCTGCTGGACCAGATCCACCTGTTGGATAAACAAGTGGTAGCAATGGCCAGCTGTGCCTTTCACCAGCTTCAGCCCTTCCTGGGAAGGGAAGGTCTGGCCACTGAAAGTTCTAGATTATTGAAATGTGCTCTATGTGTGATGGCCCTTGAAGGCTGCCTGGAAGCTACAGTTGGTACAGAATGTAGCCAGGATGTTGACGGGAGAGGGTCATATGGACTAATTCATTTAAGTCTTGTTCCTTCTACACTAGCTCCCAATTTGCTTCTGGACTCAATTCAAGGTGCTGGTATTGACCTTTAAGCCCTTCTTGAAGAAGAGTGCTAAAGGGCTCTTTGCCTGTGGCTCTTAGCCTAGGGACTCTTAGCCTAGGGGCTCTGTAAGAAGCCCAGGAAGAGCCAGAAAGCCAAGGCCCTAGTCTACTTGTGTTCCCAGTAAGGTAAGTAGACTTGAATAAGGAGAACTACATACATACAAAGGGTTTCACCATCAAATAATATGCCTTGTCCATGGCCACAGAATGCACCACAGAAATCATATGTTCACAGCTCCGTGGCGACACCATTCTACAAAAACATGGTTCCAAAGCACGGATCCTCATGGATCCTCAGGGTTTTTCAATTGGGTCACCCCCAAACACACCATCAAATCACATAGCACATCCACGGCCACAGCTTGCACCACAAAAATCACAGATCCACAGTTTTGTGGTGAATCCATTCTGCAAAAACATGGTTCCGAAGCACGAATCATGATGGATCCTCAGTGTTTCTGTGTTGGGTCACCATGTACTCACCATCAAATCACATATCATGTCCATGGGCACAGCTTGCACCACAAAAGTCATGGATGCATGGTTTCCTGGAAACACCGTGAAGCCAAAACATGGTGCTGGAGCATGGATCCTCATTGATTCTTGGGGGTTTTGTGTTGGAACACCCAAACATACCATTAAATCCCATATCATGTCCATAGCCACTACTTGCTCCACAGAATTCATGGATCCATGGCTTCGTGGCAACATGCTGCACAAACATCATTCTGAAGCACGGATCCCCATGGATCCTCAAGGCTTTTGCATTGGGTCACCATGAACACACCAACAAATCCCATCTCATGTCCATGGGCACAGGTTGCACCACAAAAGTCATAGTTCCACGGATTCGTGGCAACACCATAAAGCCACAACATGGTTCTGAAGCGGTAACGGCAGCGGCCACGTTCCCTCACCTCTCTGAGCCCCGGGGTGGTGGCCTTGGAGTCCTAGGGGCAAATTCCACCTCTCGCGTGTGATGGCCGAGCGGCCATCACACCCGAGAGGTCATTCTGGCTCCCCCAGGTCTTGTTAGGTGCTCTTTAAAAAGTTATGGCCGCTGGCGGCGGCAGGAGCGCTGGCAGCAGCGGCAACGCCGGGGGGGAGGGGCACGAAACGTTCCCTGCCTCTCTGAGCCCCGGGGTGCTGGCCTTGGAGTCCTAGGGGCAAATTCCCTCTTGCGTGAGGTCATTCTGGCTCCCCCAGGTCTTGTTGTTGTTGTTCAGTCGCACAGTCGAGTTCGACTTTTCGCGACCCCATGGACAAGATCTCGCCAGGCCCTCCTGTTTTCCGCCGTCCTCTGAAGTTTACTCAATTTCATGTTTGTTGCATCTATGACACTGTCTAACCATCTCATCCTTTGCCGTCCCCGTCTTCTTTGACCTTCAATCTGTCCCAGCATCAGGGTCTTCTCCAGTGAGTGCTCCCTTCTTATTTGGTGGCCAAAGTATTTGAGCTTCAGTTTCATTATCTGGCCTTCCAGGGAACAGTCAGGGTTGATTTCTTTGAGGATTGACTGATTTGATCTTCTTGCAGTCCAAGGGTCTCTCCAGAGTCTTCTCCAGCACCGTAGTTCAAAAGAATCTATTCTTCCGGCCTTCCTTATAGTCCAACTCTCGCAGCCATACATGACTACTGGGAATACCATTGCTTTGACCATGCGGACTTCTGTTGGCAGGATGATGTCTCTACTTTTTATTATGCTGTCTAGGTTTGCCATTTCTTTCCTCCCAAGAAGCAGGCGCTTAGCGGTGCAGCTCGGCCATCGCAAGCGAGAGGTCATTCTGGCTCTCCCAGGTCTTGTTAGGGGCTCTTTAAAAAGGTATGGCCTCTGGCGACGGCAAGAGCGCGCGAAACGTTCCCCCGCCTCTCTGAGCCCCGGGGTGGTGGTCTTGGAGTCCTAGCGGCAAATTCCACCTCTCGCGTGTCATTTGGCTCCCCCAGGTCTTGTTAGGGGCTCTTTAAAACATTATGGCCTCTGGCGGTGGCAGGAGCGCTAATGGCCGCGGCGACGGCGGGGAGAAACGTTCCCCCGCCTCTCCGAGCCCCGGGGTGGTGGCCTTGGAGTCCACAGCTGCGGATAATAAACTGAAGTTATCCTAAGGGCACATACAGAGCTTTATGGCTGTTACACTGGGAGCCCTCAATGTTCCTCCGGAAGCTATCCTGTCACTGAGAACCAGCATTTCTCAGTAAAGAGAGCGTTTATAGTATTAAATCTAAGACACATCAATCCTTTGGATTCACAGTAGAAGCATAGTACAGGAGCAGAAAATACCCAATCCCCCGACAAATGATGTTCTTGACTGTTATATTGTTTTTATTTACTGGAACGTTTCTTGGCAGTAGGAACTTGTGTGATTGCTTTGAACTTGACAAAGACGAATGCTGGATTAACGAAGAGCAGCGATGTTTCCCTCGTTATATCTAATTTCTTTTTATAGGCACAGCAGCCTTGAGAAATAAATTTATTCAGACTTTTTTTAGCGTTTATATTACAGCATTTATTTTTAGTAGTTTAGCAAACACCGACGTCTAAAGAAGAGTAAAAGGTTGCAAGCGTGCATTAAAAACACGCCAGCGAGTTGGTAAAGAAACTAGAAACCCCAATATATATTGTTATATAGGGAACGAGCTCCAGCGGCTGTTTAGTTTCCAGAAAAAGTAACGACGAGGATGGGATTCGAACCCACGCGTGCAGAGCACAATGGATTAGCAGTCCATCGCCTTAACCACTCGGCCACCTCGTCACAGAAACCTCGCTTCTCTCCAAGCCTAAAAGAAACTGCTACTGCCAAATCTGTACTCCAACTATACTTTTATTTATACGGATATGCGGTCTGTCCTTCAGATAATAAATGCAGGGCGCACTTAGAACCAGAGCAGTCAAGAATAACAACTCTGAGAATCCCGCGGATTGCTTTCTCGAGTCTTTTCTATCCTAGCGCCCTACAATTGCGGCCGAGGCGGAGCAGGCCTCCCTGCTTGGAGGCCTCCATGTTGTACGGAAAGTGGACGCTGCCATGATGTACGAGCAACCAATAGACTAGTCTCATTTCTACTGCACTCGGCGAGCATGCGCGCGGGCGGTTAGTTTGAATTCTGTGGCGGCCCCCGCCGAGTTCAATGGCGGTGCTGAAACGCGGATGTGCCGGAGGTCGCGGGTTCTTTCAGCCGGAGGTTTTATAGCGGAGAACGTTGACGGGGGAGCGGAACCTCTGGCCGCCGCTTCGCTTGGACTGTGGTGTGAGTTACTGCGGGGCGGTTAGCCGGCGGCTCCTCCTCTGCGGCCTCCTCTTGCAGCCGCTGTCCTCGCCCCTCTAGACTTGTAGCCTAAATCGGGACATGGCTTTACGTTAATCCCGCCGCGGCTGCCGTTCTCCCCTCCCCTTGCAGTTGTTGCTGACCCGACCCTAATCCGAGCTCCGGTTTCTTTCTCGCACCCCTCTCCCCGGTCTGGCCAATGTTTACTCGGAAGTAAATCCCACTTCGCTCGCGGGCTTTACTCCCTAAGTCGTCGTGTGCACAAAATGTGGGTCGGAGAATGTTGTGGCATCGGGGGGAGGAGGCAGCAATTTTGCCGAAATTCCGCTCAAGTGGCAAGAATCGGCAATGCCATTTAAGACTTCAGTAGGCGGGGAGCGTCAAATTGTCAACGATTCCCTCCTATCCCCCGAAAAAAACCGGAGGGAGGTTCTAGCCTATCTTTTGCCTTGTCTTATCTGCTGCCCGATCCTTTGAATGATCACTGACTAAAGTTTGCAGCCGGGGAAAGGGGGGAATGTTAGAATCTTAAGAATTATGTTCCAAGTTTAAAATCTTAAAGAGCATTTATGGTTGAATTCCGAGGCTGGAAGGGGAGCTGTGTGGTAATCTGAATGAGTAATATGTCTCCGTTTACTCTATGAGGTCATTTGGGGGGAAAACAATAAGCCCCCAGGGAAAAAATGCTATGCTTTGTTGCTTTCGCACAATATTTTGAAATATTGATGTTGTGGCTATTGCAGAAAAACAGCCATCCAGAATGGACAGAATTTATGCAGAAATAAATGCAGAAGAGTAAGTTGAACTTCCATAAAATATGTTATTATGATGATGTGTTGTTGTTTTTTAAATTAAGCACTTATTTGCCCAGAAAACTGCCTCCCTCATTGGAAAATACAAGATCCTACATGTAGTATGTGACTAGTATGTATGTGACTAGAGATGTACATTTTTCTGGAACTGTTGAAGCTGTGGATAAAAAACATGGATGTCCTGGAAGGGAAGGAATTTTTGAGAGAAATTGAAATATATATAACACTGAACTGCACGCTGTGGAAGGTCAGTAGTTCAGCAGTTTGAGACCCGGGTGCCGCATGATGGAGTGAGCTCCCATCTCTAGTTCCAGCTCCTGCCAACCTAGCAGTTCAAAAGCAAGAAATTGCAAGTAGATAAATAGGTACCACTTCGGTGGGAAGGTAACAGCATTCCATGCGCCTTGGTGTTAAGTCATGCCGACCACATGACAACGAAACGTCTTCGGACAGCGCTGGCTCTTCGGCTTTGAAACGGAGATGAGCACCGCAACCCTAGAGTCGGATTGGACGGGCTTTCGAGCAAGGGAACCTTTACCTTAATATCCTTATAATGCCTAAACCAGTTTTAAGAACAGAACATAAATAATTTATATCTTAATATACAGATTGGTATACAAAGTTTAAAATTTGTGAAGCTTAAAAGTGACTTACTTAGTTCGTATGATAGTCAAACAAATAGCTGGGGCTGTGGGGTTCATTGCAAGCTGTTGCACCCTATGCTATCTAAGAACATCTAAGTTTTTGTGATCTCAGAAGCAGGGAAAAAGTTGAAAACAAACCATAAGTTGTATAGTAAACACAAAGAAATGTATTAGTTGAACTTCCAAAGTGTCTTTTATCTAGTTATGCATTAAGAATTGTCAATAGGTTTTATTTATTTATACCCCATGTGCTGACTCCAGTAAGCGTTAACTGTAGGCAGTAGTAGTTTGGTAAAACTGCTGTGTATCTTTAAGACTACTTGCACCTGGGAATTGTAGTTCTCAGTTAGGGGTCCCAGCAGCTTCCCTCTGACTGGCTCATTAGGGTAATTTCCTGAGCTCAGAGGCACAAAGATAGTTTTATTGCTCTTTTCCTGCTTCTTTTGTCTATCCTTACCGCATCTTTAAGCTCTCCTCACCGGTCATGTGTTGACTCATACCTAGAAGGCGTTGGCTTAGAGCAGCTTGCGCTGGACAGGACACCCCACCTTCCTCCCCAATGGGGACCCAAAGCAGTTTTCATCATTCTCCTTTCTTCTGTTTTATTCTCACAATAACCCTGTGAGGTAAATTAGTCTGAGAGAGTGGGACTGGCCCAAGGTCACCCAAGGACATGGTACAACTGAGGATTCAGGGTCTTCCAGATCCTAATCAACAGTCTTAGCCCCTGTACCCCACTAGCTCTTTGGGTTGGATGCTGAGTTGCACTTAACAGCCTTGCAAAAACTGATTTCTTTTATAGTGTATTATACGGTATTTCATATTAATTTGTGTGCATTGTTACATTTAAACATATCCTTGAAATTTTATGTCTAGAGCAGTGCTCCCTCTAAGCTGTGGAGTCTTGTGAGCAAAAAATCTACTTTGTGAGCTGCTGGCATAAAAGTTGTGAGTAGCGATTTGGCTACTGCATAAATTAATTTGCTCTGGAGCCATCCTTTCTGAGCTAAGACAAAAATTTGTGAGCCAGAGGCTAAAAAATTGTCAGCTAGCTCACACTAACTCAGTTTAGAGGGAACACTGGTCTACAGTATACACAGGAATTATCATTATCTACAGTTAAAGATTGTTACAGAAACACCTTCACCACAGTTAGAAAGCATTTTGAGTTAATAATATTTTGTCTTAAAACCATTTTGCTAATTGAGTATTCCCCTAAATTTCCAATTTTTCCAGAAAAATTGAAAAACATTCTGTAGAAAGAGGGCGGATGGCTAGTGGTAATTTTCCAGTGTATTTTCTGGGTCTTCCTGTCCGTGACTTATTGAACATATTGTAATGAGTTTGAGGTTAATATTTAATTTACACTCTGTGAATGTTCAGAGGTTAAGCTAAATGACTTGCCTAAGTAGAACAACGATTGTGGAATAGTCTATCTAGTTTGTATTCTGTCCTTTTGCTAAGGAGATTGGGAGATAGTCTTCTGATCTAAATGAAAGCACTGCAGTTCTTTGGGTGCTGGTTTGTGATATAGAGGTCCTGGTCACACGGGCCGGATATCGCGGAGGGGAGGCATGGCTAATTGCCCCAGAGGAAACTAACGCGCGGCCACCCGAGCACACATCCCGGTCGAGGTCCCGTGGTTAGGGGGGAGATGCCGACCAGACGGGTATCCTGCAGCGTGGCACAGAAGCCGTGCGATCACACTAGCAATCGCTCTTTGTGCGCATGCACTGTTGGGTGCTGTAGCGCAAGCTGCGGAGACGGGCGCCGGATGCCACATAAGCCCACCAGAAACGCGATCAGACGCCCGCTCTTGGCCCGCGGTTTCCGGAAACTAGTACCTCGGAGGTACTAGTTTTTTACTCCGCATCTTTGGCGGGAAGCCTTGGGTTAGCCACGAGAGCTCTACGCTTCCCAGATGTTGCGGTGTGATCGTGCCCGGAAAATCCACCTACCATCCGTATTGTCAGCACGGCAAATGCCCCGTGTGACCGCAGCCAGAGAGAAGTTTTTGGAGAGACTGTGGAGAATGATTGAGAGGCAGGTAGAGATGTAAAATTTCCGGAAATTTTGAAGCTCGGAAAAAACCCCGTTTTTTTCCTTTTTTTTTCCTGGGAAAAACCCAGAAATTTTTGGAAAAATTGAAAAAAATGCTACATTAGCATTTCTTTTGTCATTTCTAGATTGAAAGTCATTCTGTTACTTTAGGAACATAAAATATGACTATGGACATTTTTACTTGGCATGAAATTATCACAACTAGCATATTACAAATATAGTGTATCCAAACAATTATTACAAACAGAATACCCAACCACATGCAAAAACAAAACTGAAACTTTTTATTTTCTTCTGACAATCGCACCTCCTAAAGGAAGAAATGCATCTTGTTCTTGCATTGGAGAGTTCAGTTTGTAACCTAGGACTTGCTTGTCCTCAGTGCACAGAAATTAGATCAATCTGATACCATATATATATATATATTAGAAATGATTTGGAAAATATTTGAACACCTTGTCTTAAAATATTTTATTAATCATGTTAAAATAAAACGTTCCGTAATCAAAAAAAATTCTTTTCTTTTCTTTTTTCAATTTTTCAATTTTTCCGGAAAAAAACAAAAAAGGCTTCAGGAAAAAAAAGGTTCCCCCCCCCCGAATTTTTCCGGTTTTTTTTCCGGGCCTCCACATCTCTAGAGGCAGGGGCCATTGCTGTGAGAGTTGCTGGAGCACATAAACAGTGCTTGATATGTCTCACTGGAGAACTGATGTGGTATAATGGATCTGTTGCCCTGTAGGTGTGCCTTCATGCCTCCTTTTGTGCTCTACCTATATACTTGTAGGCAATGTTCCCTCTAAGCTGTGGAGTCCTGTGAGCAGAAATTCTACTTTGTGAGCTACTGACATTAACGTTGTGAGCAGGTAGTTTGGCTGCTGCATCTGGAGCCATCTTTCCTGAGCTAAGACAAAAATGTGTGAGCTGGAGGCTAAAAAACTGTGAGCTAGCTCACACTAACTCAGCTTAGAGGGAACACTGCTTGTAGGTAAAGCAGATGTTGCAAGGGAACTATAAGTTTCTGACATTCTTTTCTTCCAAGAAGACCAACCTGGACAATTATTGGATTTTCGCACGGTTCTGAAAAGTATGTTTTTAATGTGGTATTGTTTGAGAAGACATATAGCATAATAAATGTGCAATGTCAGAAAATTCTGGCAGAATAAATTACATTTAAGCCTTTTATTTTACTTTTTGCATGCTGATTGCTTTTTTATTATAAATTACTGTGTTGGACAAGTATTAATGAGGAATAGATGGGATCCTTTATCTTGTACATTGAGTTCTTCTTTGTTTGTCTTTAGTGACCACACAATTAAAAGAAGGATTTCATCCGTAAGTATGAGACAAAGGTCTATTTTTTTTCTGTTGAAGAGATAGGTGGTAATCATTTCATTTACATAAAGAGAAATGTTAGTGCAAAGCTAAAATGCTAAAGAAAATGTTATGCTGTTCATTAGTGTGCGCGTAAAGTGCCATGATCTGTGTAGAGGCCCTGGCCTTTCTTGTTGGTCTCCAGTCCTGGTTCTAATCCTGGCTGACCCCTGCTGAGCTACCAAGATCTGGCTTTCCTGGGCCATCCAGGTCAGGGCTGTTTATTAATACCTGTATGGACATAATAAAATGGTATCCCTTTAATGAGAGACCTAGCATGGTATCTATTGTGGTGTGCAGGTTCTTCTTGTTGGAGAAACAGATCTTTGTCTTGCTAGCTAGAATATTTCAGAGTGGCATAAACAAAATGGCTTATCAAGACATGCTTATTACCAATAAAATGTCATTTTTTGCTGTTGTCTTGAGTTGAAAAATTGGGGAGAACTTTGTGACACGGAGTGCATTTTGCTATTACAAGGACTTGCTGATCTGAAATTTGTATGTTGCAAGATAAGTATTTTAAATAAATAAAATAATTACAATTATATCTGACCTTTCCGTAATGCTCAAGGTGGCTCTTGATAATTGGCTTTTTAAAGCCTGTGTTTATATCTGTATTATTCAATTACCGTACATACTGTCTTTTTAAGCCAAATGCCCTCAACTTTAAAGTGCATTGTTAAAACATTGCATATTCTGCTTTACAACCAGCAGTTTCAAACCAATAATTCAAGAGATTTTTCTTAATTAATCTGCAGATTTAATTTAGTCAGTGATTCAAAGGAGCCATTTATGTGCAGGCAAGAGTATAATCTGTGGCAACCATATTTTTTCCTGGGGTTCTTACTATTGCAGCTGCCCTGTCAGCAAAGCAAGCCAATGACAGCTATAGAAGAGACTACTTAGTTAAAAAAAGTGACCATTAAAAAAAAGAAAAGAATTGGTGGCGCTGCAGGAATTTTCATCTCAGCTCTGCATATTTTCTTTTTAGATTTTAAAAGCCCCCCGAACTCCTCTTCGTGACCTAGGGAGCGGAAATGAGGTAATTCAGGTAAATATCAAACCTTTACTATGTAAGTATTTTAAAAATTAGGCTGGCCTCCAGTCGATGTCAGTACCTGCAACATCCGTCTTAGAATATCTATAGTGGAATCAATATAAGTCAAAATAATTTCTTGATGCATTTATATAGAAACAAGCCTAACTTAAATCACTAGGACTGACTGGTGTTTGGAATCAGATGGTAATACTGCACAGATATTTTCTATAAGGGTTAATCCATATTACTTTTCAGCTTGTATTGTCTATATCAGATAAGATTTCTTGAGCTACATTGTGCGTCTTCCTTATCACAATAGATTTTACTTCTATGGGAAGAGACTGCAGAACTTTAAATTATTTGTGATTTGACTGTTTTTCACTTGAAAACCTTTGTCCTTAGAAAATATAAAACATGCAGGATCACTGCTGTTTGGGTCACCTGCAGGGGGACTGAGTGGTGGTATTTGACTGAAAATAAAGTTCCAGATTGTGGTGAAATGGCTTTCACCCCAGAAGTTTAGTATGCAAGTTCACAGTTCCACAGGGTAATTGCTGGATTTTAACTCTGTGTAGGCACAGAGGCTGTATGGTGCTCCTTGCTGGATAGCAGGAGGAAACCTGAGAAACAAGTTGGTATGAGTCACCTCCCAATGCAGAAGATCCATGTCTGTGAGTGCCATTATGCTCACTTTTCACTAGATCCAATCAATTTCGTTAAAGCTGTTTTATCTCTTCCAAGTATGGTTGACTGTTTTGCTCCTGATAGCCACCTTTAGACACAGGTTGTTCTAACTGTTCATTAACTCCATTTTGAACAAATTTGATTTTCTTGCCAAATTAGTTTCTGTCATAATGAAAAAACTATATGTTCTCTATAAGCCAGCAAGACTGGGTTACTTAGCTTCCAAAGAAGTGTTGTGGTCCTAGGTTTTGTCCTCAGCTGTTTATCTGTACAGAGTTGTGTACAGAAACGGATGGTAGTATGTAGTGGGAAGGCAATGAAAGCCGGTACGGACACATAAAGGAGCCTTTTTGGTAGGAATGGGAGGAACCCCCTATACATGTTATGGTGATCTCACCCTCCTCCCTCTCTCAAACCCTCGTTCTGTGTCCTTTCTTTCTTAACCCTTGACAGTCCATCACACATGTCTACACAAAATGCATGTACTATGCTGTTATAACTTTTCCTGGCTAGTGCTTAATGTATAAAGAAGGCTTGATGATGATGAGTAGTATTCATAATGCTGTTTATTTTTCTGTCCTATATATACTTATTGGAAGTTATCATATAAAATAATTGCTGTCTATGGGCCTGATTTCTGTGTTGTGTGTTTAGGATTGTGATGTTGAAAAACGTCAGAGAAATTCCCGGCGTGTCAGTTTTGCAGATACAATAAGGTGAGCTTGTTTTTTCAAGTGCACATCTATAAAATGCTAGTTTGTGCAGGATTCTTCAGACAAAAAGTTGCCAACATTAGAAGTTTGTTTTAAATACATTCAAATATTATAAATACATATAATGAGTTTCGCAGGTCTTCAATACACAATGAATTGTAGTGCTCCATTATGGCTTTGATAAGATTCGCTATTCAACTAAGCATTTGCTGATTATGGTTTCTGTTTCTCTTTTTCCACCTGGGGCAGAGAGAAAGATATTCCTATGCTGAGTCTGAACAGGCAGTTTGAATTATTTACAAACTGGCTTAATTGACTTTTAACCCTAGTCATGGCTCTTTTAGTAGAAAAAGCCCAGCAGGAACTCATTAGCATAATAGGCCACACCCAACAGCAGAAACTCATTAGCATATTAGGCCACACCCCTGACAGCACAGATCTGCCCTCACAGAGGAAGGAGAGCTTGTACCTAAAAAAACCTTGGTCTTAAAGGTGCCACTGGACTCTTTTGGATTGCTAGCTATGGGGGGGGGGAACATGCAAATCTGCGCAGAAAGAGAGAGAGAGAGAAGGAATGGAGAGAAAGAAAGAGAAGGAAAGAAGCAGGAAAAGGGGGAGAGAAGGAAAGAAGGAGGGATAGAAAGAAAGAGAGAAAGAAAAAAGGGGCCACCGAACTGTTTTGGATTGCTAGCTGGGGGACTGAGTGTGAGCTGTGCAGAGAGAGAGAGAAAGAGAGAGAGAAGGAAAGGAGGGAAAGAAAGAGAGAAGAAAAAAGGAGAGAAAGAAAGAGAGAGAGAGAGAAGGAAAGAAGGATTAGTTCCGCTTGGCTCAAGCTCATTATGACTTGGCAACTAAGAAGGGCTGTGGATCCACAAGGGTTAAGCTGACACTAAATATTATGAAAATACAAAATTTATTCAGGTGTACACATTTTAAAACCGGAACGCCCAAAGGGCCTTCCTCAGTGGTCACAATTCCAATTACAAATTTGACATACATTCAAAAAAAATTTGTACAGGATGGAGTGACATACATTCAATTCACGCAATTATTGGTGGACTTTAAGAACCGGAGGCCTATCTTATATAATAATAATAATAATAAACAAATACATAAGTATTTAGGAAACAACATCTGGCCTTATACTGCATATGTATGTAACATCTTATGTTAAAAAAATTTTTTTTTGAATCTATGTCAAATTTGTAATTGGAATTGTGACCACTGAGGAAGGCCCTTTGGGGGGCCGAAACGCATTTGGTTCAGTTGCACGGCACTAACCCATCTATGTATGAATGTTGAGAAGTTTTTTATGTCTGAATGGTATATTTTAATGAGTCTAAGTTTTAAAATGTGTACACCTGAATAAGTAGTAGTAGCACTCTGGCGCGCCCCGGCTCCAAAAGAACCCGGTGATAACCAATGCATAAATTTGAGCTACTAGCTAGTGCTTAAAATGACTGACAGTATTCTAGGTGCCAGAGGAAAGGTGTACATTAGGGTAGTCTATGTTCTCCTTTGTTAAATACTGATATTAAATGCTGTTGGGTTGTAATTAATCAGTGGTGACATATTTCCCCTATGCAAGAGGCTCCTTTCACTAGATAAGCCTCTTATGTCAGATGAAGGCTCGTTATACCAGAGGGATGCGCTGTCATTAGTTAAGTACAGTGGTAGGCTACAAACTAGTATATCAGCTAAATGGATGTTGCTTTGGATCCACTGGAGCTTTTCTGTGGGTGGAAAGATTTCTGTTCCTGGAGTATGACTTTCTTTCCCCCGCACTGGAGCCCCAAATTGATGTTCCTGGAGCAACAGTTGAAGAGGAGTTCTAGGGCGCAGTGTATGTGCATTGTGTAAGAAAGTCTCACTCTGCAGGCACCCACAGAAGAGCTCCTGTGGATAGGGATGGGCACAAATCTCGTCAGTAACCTAAATTTGTCACGAAAATCATCAGCCAAGGGTCATGCGATTGCACCTGCAATAAATGTCTAACGAGCCTCCATGGTTTTCACGGAGGTTTGTGTGGTTTGTTTTGGCGGTTCGTGCGGCAGACACACTGAATCATCAAAGGTACAGGGGGAGATGGACTTCTCAGCCCTAGAAACACCACACTTCATCATGGTTTTCCAACTTTCCACCGTCCTCCAGTGCTAGCCCTTCTCCCCCTTTTGCACTTTGAGCCCTAGGATCCTCGACGTCAGTGCCTCTGGGCACTCACCTGCCAGGCTTGGCATCATCAGCTGCCCATCCCAAGCCTTTCCCTCGTCTTGGTTTTTCAACTTTCCCCCCCCCTCCTGTTCTCCCCCCCCCCCCCCGTCCTCTAGCTTGCAGGGAGGCTGTTTGACACACTCCTGAACCTGCAGCTGTGATTTCCCCAGAGAGCACTTTCTTGGGGGCACCTGCTTTGGGGGGCTGTAACTTGGCCCTCCCTAAATCCAGTCCTCACCAAACTTGAGAGCAGGTAGAGGAGAGTCATCTGGAGACTCGCTGCAAGTTTGGCATCTCTAGCCCGCAGGGAGGGCTGCTCTACCACACCACAGACATCATGAAACGAGAAGGCTTATGAAGGTTCGTGGTTCATGTTGTCCCACGTACGGAAACGAACCTCGATTTTGCCGGTTCATGCCCATCCCTACCTGTGAATTCAGGTCATTTCAGTCACCTATATGAGACATGTGCCCTTGATTACATATGCTAGGGGTCCCCAACCTTTTTGAGCCTATGGGTACCCTTGGAATTCTGACACAGCGCAGTGGGTGCAGTCACAAAACAGTTGCCGCAAAATTGTTTTCGCAAGAGGTGGAGCCAGCCACAAAAAGGCTGCAGCTGCTGCTTACATTTAGTCACACAGTGAAGATCCAGAAACCTTCCTGGGCAAAACCCACACCTGGCCCCACCCACTTAATAAAACACTTGATGGGCACCGTGGCACCCATGGGCACCATGTTGGGGACCCTTGGCATAGGCTGATGATATAGCCCTATTGTTGTTTCCAAGCAGGGCTAAGACAGCTTTTAAGGAATTTTAGATCCTTGGTGAAAAGGATTTTTTTAAAAAAGCAAAGGAAAATATCATGGCATCCAGTGGACTTCCAAGCCTCATAAGTATCATTGTGACATTTGATGGTGCCATCACCCTAGGCCTCAAGACAGCACTTGTGAATTCTTGCCCACCAGCATCACATTTAAATCAACCCATGCTTTCATTCCAATGGATGCTTGTTCCTAAGTAATGGTTTTATGACTGCTTTGAAGACCGCCAAAACCACAATTTTGAATGAATTTCAGTTGCAAAGACACTGGCTATGTTGGAAATGTGATAGAAATGCTTAGCCAATGTGATTTTTCTTAAATATGTTTTCAATATAGCATCATGATACTGTACAATTAAAAGTTAAGCCCAGGATCTGTAGTCTTAGAATGCAGGATGATTTGACTGAAAAATCTGGCTTCTTAATTTTCTCTCTTGTGTAATGGGAGAGGGGTACTAGGTGACTTGCATGGTGATGTTTAAATAATGCCCACTGTCAGGATGAAATAATTTGATGGTAGAGAGTTTGTGTGTGTGCTCATAAACAATTCCCCCGCCCCCAAGCTGTTAAACCTATTTGTGCGTTTTTTAGGGTTTTTCCAACAGATCTTCAAACAAATACCGAGTCAGATCATTTAGGTAAGATCTCGTGTTTCTAGTTGCATTTAGTTGACCAGGAATAATACATGAAGCCTTTTTACATGCACTGCTGTAATAAATGTGTGCCATAATACTGATGCTTTTCACAGTATTTGGTTTTCTAATTTTAGAGGAAACAGCAGAAGCAAGGCATCAGGAACCACTTAATCAGTAAGTTTTGAATAAATTCCCTGACTGAACAAATATTCTGATTTTAAATGGTCCCAACTTGATCTTAAACTAAATGATATTACCACCAGTGTTGATTAATGCTTAATGCAGTGTTCTCCATATTTCATTGTTTCAGCCACCAAGGTTTATTTCTAGCATAGTCTCAGATGGTAATTGGTAGCATCTTCTGACAGCAGGTAATTCTGTTGTATCTCTGTGCTCCAATCAGAGCCAGTGCAGAGGTGTAGCAGAATTAATCCCCAGAAGAAGGCCTAGAGCAGGAAGTCCTGTAGAGATGCTATGGACAGCCTCATCTGGCATTTGAGTATTTCAAAGCTACAGCAACCTTTAAGTGTTTATTCCTCATTGTGTTCTAGAAGAATGCCCCCATGTATAGTTTAGGAATTATTAGACCTACAGTATAGGAAGGTTAATTAAAGGCTTTTAGAGTTGGTAGGGAAATTACTGATTGTTTCAGCAAGTATTTAATTTCACTGTAATATTTGCAAAGCTGTCATCGTTCTAAAAAGTATCCCTTCTGCTATTGAGAGTTTAGGTTACATAGCAGTAGATCCAATTCAGTTTTCTATTAATGCTCACTTTTGCTGCTGAAGTGATCTTTGTAATATATTAAATTGCAACAATTGTGGTTGTTGGGTTTTTTTTAAAGAAAAGAAAATCCAGAGACTGTCCAATGTGAGATCACTGGTAAGTATAGAGATGAATTGTTCTTGTTAAACTGTATGTTTGAACAGTCTTTGAAAAATGTTAAGCAATTTCTAAGTAATAAGACTTTGTTCTGAAACATTCTACCTAAAAATAATTATTGCTACAAGTAATCTGTATTTTACTGTGCTTGTGCCAGTATATCCTCTGATCCTGAGTAGCACAGATCATATGGTGGCATGGAATGTTCAGTTGCTCAGGAAACGAAAACATTTTCAGTCACATTAAGGAAAATTGTCAGTATGCCTGAAATATAATCCTTAACACAGGAAGGCAAAGGACTAGCAAGAGGTCATCAGCAACAGGAAAGTTGACAAGGAGCCCAGAAGGAAAGGTACAAAGTAGGCATCAGACTCACAAAGGAACCCAAAGGGAGGTTAGATGTAGAGGGGAAATGTCAGAGTGCCCAAGAAATTGAGGTGGCAAGAGGGTAATTACAGAAAGCTCTGCAGACACGTCACTGGCTCAGCACTTGAAACTGGGAGGACTCAGTTCTGTTGGAGGGTAGAACAATGCTAGGAAGGTTGGTCAAGACAGAAGGCGGCTGACGGAATTGAAACAAAGCAGGAAGTTATCTGAGAAACAGGATCTTGAGAAAACAATCAGCAAGAAAGTCATGGAACTAAAGAGGAGAAGAGCCAATGAGACAGTAGGACTGGTGCAAAAACATCTACCTGTCTCTACACCCCATTTATTTATTTCTTTATTTATTAGATTTATAGCCCGCCCTCCCCGCAAGTGGGCTCTGGGCGGCTCACAGATAGGGCATATATGCCAATAGTTAAAACAAGTAAAAACGAGATAAAACAATCAATCAATTACAACAATACAAAGTGCTCAAGATGTTTCAGGAAAGTCTTCAGTAACAAGATGGCTTCCTGGGGATAGCAGTCCCAGTTCAGTGGTATCAGATCCACGCAGCACTGTAGTTCATTTAACACAGGGCCATCTCACCCCCCACTGTTACCCAACTCAGTTGGTGGAAGTAGTGGCGGCTCCTACTCAAAGGCCCGGTGGAAGAGCTCCGTCTTGCAGGCCCTGTGGAACTGCACAAGGTCCCGCAGGGCCCGGATCTCCTCCAGGAGCTCATTCCACCAGGTAGGAGCCGCCACCGAAAAAGCCCCGGCCCTGGTAGCAGCATACCTGGCCTCTTTGGGGCCTGGAATCACAAACCCATGTGTGCTGTTGGCAGGAAGGAAGTAAATAGGCAGTGGTTGCAGTTAGCTAGCCAGTCAGTTTGAAGGCTGCAAGCTCCTTGTTTCAAAATCTCTAGACTAACAGTGGTGACTGGAAATTAACCTTTTCCTTATCTTTTTTCTAAAAGGGATGAACACTTTACTTCATGCCCCAATCCAGACACCTTTGCAAGAAATAGAGGTAAAAATACAGAACTTTCTTACACTCAAAGAATATTTTAAACAAGAGGCATAAACACAAAGATACATGAGCAAGGGGGAAATCACTCCTTCACCTCCTCTTGCTTTCATTTCACTCTCCACTGGCTTTTTCTCGGTTTTCACTCACTTCGCTTCCCCTCTTACTCCCCAACTACTGAAGCCTTCTCCTCTCTGGTCTTGCCTTGCCACTTTTCAGCCCACTTCTGTCCTAAATTCTGCAAAATTCACCTCTCTCTCTCTCCCCCCCCCCCCCCCCCCCCCCCCCCCCCCCCCCGTGTCTCCTGTGCGTAGAATGAGAGCACTGTCTTGGAACATATGATGCCATTTGTCTCTCTTTCACTTCAAACTCCATCTCTCATGAAGCCTTTGTCATAACCTCTTGTTCATCATCTTCTACTGAAGCTAAACCTAAATATTTAAACTGAATTATATATATTTTACTCGTATTTACTCTCCCTTCCATCTTTCTCCTCTGTATGAAATTTTAGATTAAAAGCTCCTCCCAGCAGAAACCAGTATCTTTTGGTCTATAAAGTCCCATGCTTTGGTTGAAGTACCACTGGACCAGTATTATTGGTTGCTTTTCATCTACTTTTTGGATTTCAGAAGTTTTCATTTAAATGTGTGGATGATTGTTGTTTTTTTTAAAGTCAGAAGTTCCTTTGTTTGTAAAACCCTGGTAAAATGTAATTTCCAATGTGATATTTTGAAATGTCAATAATTGTTAATTCTGTTTTATTACAGTGCCATGATATAAACTCTGGTCAAGAATTGAACAAAATGAACAGAACACTTCTCTTTTCAGAAGAAAATGAAATGGATATGACAGCTGGTCACACTGTAATGATTACGCATGATATTGGGATCTATGAAGAAACTAACAAGGCTAGGAAAAGAGATGTCAAATCATTTTTGGCTGAGTTAAAGCTGAATAAGAAAAATTCAGAAATGAATGAGAACAGCTTCATCAGTGGCCCTATAAAAGGGAATGAGATTTATCTGCCTCAACAAAAGACAAATGTTGGTAACAGACAGAAAATTAAATTTGATGACTTTTTCAAAAGCTTGAAATCAACTGAACCCTTTCCCACTCCTGCTGCTGAAGTATCTTTTTTGCCTTCAGAGGTCCCAGAAAGAAAACTGTGCCCTTCAGAGGTGAATGCATCTTTCCACTTGCAAGGGAAAAGCAACATCACGAACATCTTTGGGGGACTTGATATTAACACAGCTGTTACACAGTATTGCTTATCTAATGAGACTACTGCACTGCCTACTTGTCATGCTTCAGAGCAAACAGGACATGGGATGGTTACTCTGCATTGTGGAGATGAAAGCATGGGCATGACTGTTGCCAGTACAGAAGTTTTGCCAGCTGGACTTGGCTCACTTACTGTAGCAAAACAACATCAGAACTTTGAAAGTGATTACTCAGTTTCTAATGACAGCTACAGATCAAAGCCTTCTAGTCATCCCCCTGGTATTCAACAGCACCCAGCTATGTGTATTAATAAAACAACTGTAAACAATGGAGAAATGGGTGTTTCCGAAAAACATGGTGTCAAGTTGATAAGTAGAGATGGCTCACTGCCCTCTAATCAAGGAATATCTGCAACCCAAGGTTTTTTTGGATCAATGCCACTTCTTGATGGTAATAAAAGTACTGTTTCTTCTAGCATCTGTTCAGATATGGAAATTACTAGAAATTGCACAGGTTTCATTTATGATGCTAATTCTAAGGAAATTAGCAAACTTGCTCATAGAACCTGTGAAAAACAGAGCAAGACTGTCTCTAGACTAATGGAAAGAACTGTTTTTGGAGCCAGTAATATGAACACCACAGAGAATCAAGCTTCTACAAATGCCAATATGAATGGCATTCCTCATTCCATCCTGTACAATGAAATGGCTTCCTCAAAGCAAGAGGCTGTTTATGGAAATAAGGAGCTGCAAAATTTAAGTATAAAACCTTTTTCTTGGTCATCCTCCCATCTTGAGAGGAAAGAAGACACTCTGCTTGTATCATTACCAAGTGACAAGTCAGCAGTCTTCTCTGGAAAAGGCATAGATTTAAGTAGAACTCACGTTGCCAAGAGTGATGCAAAGCAAGGACAATGTCAATTTCTTCTGTCTGATGACAAGGCAGCCTTTGCTGAACTGAGTGGTACAACAGCCATAAACTATAAAGCTAATAGAAAAAGTGACTGTTCAAACAATAGAGTGCCTCCAGTTCCTGCAGACAAAACTGTTATGTTTACAATCAGTGAAGACATGGAACTAACTAAACCCACAGCATCCCTAATAGATAAATCTCTGAAAACTTCTGGATTTTACAAGAAACCACAGGAAGAAACAAGACCTGGTAACTATAAGGTAGCTGGACCAGCTACTGACAAGACTGTTGTATTTTCCCTTGAAGACAATGAAATGGATATTACCAGGAGCTGTACAGTGGCAGTAAACTATAACTTTATGCAGCATTGTGAGAGAGATCCTCCAGTATTTCCCTTACAGCCTGTTGATAAGACTGTTGTTTATACATCGCATGGACATACCGATATGGACATAACTAAACTGAACACATATGTAAAAGACCAGTCTCTTGGAAATTCTGGTGCCCAGGCTGTGCACAAACTAGATTACAAGGTTGATAGAATACCTCCCACTGGATCAGCCAGAGACAAGACTGTTGTATTTTCTCTTAATGATGAGAATGAAATGGAAATTACCAGGAGCCATACAGTGGCATTAAACCATGGCGATGCCCCTCAAGGTGCCAACATCCCCATTGCAATGTATGTGCCTCCAGATAAAACTTTAATGTTTACATTTAGTGAGGATATGGAGATAACTAGGCCTGTTGCAGGGGCAATAGATAAATCTCTGAAAAGTGTAACTGGTTCTTTTGCTGTACCACAGCAAGGTACAGGAACTGGAAAGAAAAGAATAACAGGGATAGCTAGTGACAAGACTGTCGTATTTTCCCTTGGTGAAGACAATGAAATGGATATTACTAAGAGCTGCACCGTAGCAGTAAACCATAATTTTATGCCACACGAGACAGTCTCTCAAGTATTGCCCTTAAAACCTATTGATAACACTGTTTATGTATCAAATAATAACATGGACAGGAGTAAGCCAATTTCATGCATGACAAATCGGTCACTGGAGAATGCTGGTGCCCAAGCTGTGCACAACCTAGATCATGAGACTGATGGAAGAACTCCCATTGGATCAACCAGAGACAAGACTGTTGAATTCCCTCTTACTGAAGACAATGAAATGGAAATTACCAGGAGTCATACAGTGGCAGTTAATCATGATACTATCCAACAGATTGGGGGAGCTCCTCAAGCACCCTCCCCATTTCCTACAGAGAAATCCTGTGTATTTGTACGTAACAGTAACATAGCAGTAAGTAAATCTACAAGTTTTATTCCTGCAAACAAGACAGTGATGCTTAGTCACCATGACATAGAAATAACTAAACCCACAGAACATGTAACAGATTTATCTCAGAAAAATAAAGAAAAAGAAACTGAGAAGGTAATCCTACCAGGATTTGTCGAGGAAGAAACAGTTAAATTTTTCCTACATGAAGACAATGAAATGGAGATTACTAAGAGGTTTACAGTTGCGGTAAACCATGATATCCAATGTATGGAAGGAGCATCCCAAGAAATCTCCCTGATTCCTGCAGAGAAAACCAAGGTGTCTGGACATAATAGTAACATGGCCACCAGTGTTGTTCCTGCAAATAAAAATTTGATGTGGATGCATAGTAATGACATGGAAATAACAGAACCCTTAATAGATATGTCACTGAAAAATACCAATTCTAAAGCTTTGCCACGAAACGAAAAGGAAACTAACAAGGCAATGCTATCTGCGCGAGTCAAAGGTAATGCTATTACTGTTAAGCTGCATGATAATGAAATGGAGATTACTAAATGCCACACGGTCGAAGGGAACCATGATACCTTTTCTCAGTATGAAAGAAGACCTCCAGTGCAATTTTATCAGGATAGTATAGACATTACAGGATCTCATGATAATGTGAAAAATATGCATGCAAATATAAGGAAACTGGGAATGGAATCTAAATGGGAAGTGCCCTCAAACCAAACATTGGCATTAGCTACTGTTGATAATATGGAGAGTGCTAAAAAGCATACAATGTTGATGAATAACAAAACAGTTCAGCATCATCCATCAGTTAGGAAAGCTGGGCTCCTAATTCCTCTCAATAAAAATAGTGTGTTCACATGTTACCAGGATGGCAAAGAAATTAATAAATTGCTTCCTAATGCTACTGCTGATCAGATCTTGGAAGAGAAACATGCACTAAATAAAAACATAAAGCAGGAATCAGGTAACATGTCATTTTTTACTAGTCATGGAATAACACAAGATATAGACATTACTAGAAACCATACAGTTAATATTTATGGTCCCGATTGTTATGTGCAAAATCCTGAAAAACAGGTACTGCACTCGGTCACAAAATCAAGAGAAAAGACAATTGCAATTTCAGATGGTGAGACCATGGAGATAACTAGAAACCACACAATTGGAATTGAGTTTATGAATACAAATAATTGTAATAATGAACTCAGCTCTTGTTCCCAGACTGAATCTGGCTCAAAATTTTCTCCTTTGGTTGTCCCAAATGAAAAGGCATTGGACATTACTAAAACTGACAAACATATGCCTGAAATGTCAATTTCATCTTCTAATATGGGACTATCTGTAAATAAGGTCAATACACAGAATTTGTTGAGAATCCAAGACAACCAGCTGGAATCCCATGCATCTAGAATTAATAATCTTGCAGAAGTTGCTGCAAATTATGCACTCTGTTGTGAAGAAAATGAATGCTTGTTGCCAGTTGAAATGCTAGTTCAAAATCCAGAGTTCTGCGGTGAAACTACTCTTAATTTGAACGCGGAGAGAATGTGCATGTTACTTACTGAAAGTGAGACCTCAAAAGATTATCCAGGAAAAATATTTCTATCAAGACATGAAAGTAACCCCAATGGAGTTACAGGAGGTCTGCCAGTTGTGGACACAGCAACTAACATAGACTTGTGTCATGTTACAAAAGATTGTCAAACTAATTTGGATCTTCCCATCAATAACTTCTGCTCAGAAGAAGACCCAGTCCTTCAGTCTAAACTACCTAGTATTGTTAATGATTGTTCAAAGCTAGAGAGGAAGTCAGAGTTTGGCTTAATATCTCAAAATGGTAGGCTCAGTCTTGGAGAAGAGCTAATGAAGCCAAAAAATCCTTTGGAGTTAACAGAAGGTATTGGAATAGAATCCAGTAATTCTGTAGTTTCAGATGAACTGAAAAATAAGTCTTTTACAGAGGGTGATCCTTTCCATGTACCCTTCAATGTTATGCAAAAGGATAACTGTCAAATGAAAAAGTTACCCCTGGGTATCTTTCCACCAAAACTGCCAAACAAACGAAAAACCACCATTTCTAATGTAGAAGACATTGGTGGAAGAAGAAAACTTCAAGATTCAGAAAACTCTCTGCTTGTTAAGAAATCCTCAGATAAAATTACGCAACATTTGAGTCCATCATACTATATAAGTGAAGAATTACTTCCTCCGTGTGTAGAGGAAATGGATTTTAGTGAGCTTCTAAACAGTGAACTGCAGGAGAAAGTATGTGATATGGTGGATGAAAAAGAGACCACTGATAATGAAGGATGTCTAAAAGAAACTAATGGGCAAAAAAGAGTTCGGAATCAAGAGGGAGAAGAGCTTCAAAAAGAAAAGAAGCTCAAAGCTGATGAGCGCTGGAGTGATACCACAGAGCTAAAGCAGGTAGGTGTGTTGATTTTTTAAAATTAAATGCATAATATACTATAGGCCTGTAGGCAAGGGTCAGCATAAAGTGGATCAGCTTAGCCGAGCGGTTCCTTCGTCTCCAGAACTGCAATCTGAACAATCATTCCAGGGTTCAAGTCCCTGTTCGGGCGCCACATGAAGGAATCACAGGAGACAGTTCTCTTGAGGGGAGAGAAATCAGTCTGCCTCTCAAGGCAGCAAGTAGTTTATTTTATGCACACTCTGCTTCCCCCCTACCCACGTGCAGTGAGGTTGGGGCTCACGTACAGAAACCAGAGAAAACAGATATGTCTTAAAGATGCTTACATAGGTACAATAATTAACAAGCTACCTCCACAGGTACTACGGATGTGCAAAGGTCAAGACTGGATGGATCAGAGTTACTGATCCATCCAGATGTTTACAGAGTCTGGAAATATGGGCTCAAATCAGGATCGGCGTGCCTAATCACTGATCTTTGCCCACACTTTATGCTGACCCACTTTATGCTGACCCTTGCCTACATAGGCCCCTTGGGGATACAGCAGGACATTTTTTTCCCAAATGTGAACACTCTGTCCTCAGGTATTTTGCAGGGCAAATAATATGACTTGGGGGAATAAGAAGTCAAAAGGAACTGATATTACATGTATACTTCTAACATGCCCCAGCATTCATACCATTCTACATAACCAGTCCCAACGTAGCTTAATGGGAGTTTGACAATGTGGCCAGAGCACAGTGTTTGGTATGATGGTGTCATTAGAGCTTGGTTCTGAAAGGTCCTGGAATGCTCAGGACCAGCTCTCATGTCTGTTGGCAAAGGTGGTGCAGTGTTGTGGGCTGTGCGGGAATCACGACTTAGTCACAGGTATGGTAGTGAGGTGTAAGCTCTTTGTAAGACCATGGCCATTCTTGCTAAGTCTATAAAATTAGCTTCTCATCAGTATAGAGAAGTGAATTGAATTTAGGAGCTCAGATCCACCAGAGCATTTCTGCAGTGCCATGGGTATAATATCCAACCATTGTACTGGACTATAAGAGTAGTGAATACAATTAAATAAATTGTACCTGCTAGTCCACTTGGCTCATTTATATCAAGTATTTGTTATTTTAAAACTTTTCTGTCTCCCCTTGGGTGTTGGGATTACTTAAGTAATGAATGAACATAGCTTCAAGTCAGTCAATAGCCTTATTCTGGGAGTTTTGAGAAACATGGCATACACAGTTGAACCTCGATTTCCCCCCCCCCCCCCCCAATTTTACATTGGCTTCTATTGTATGTTATATACTTAATATTTTTTCACAAGTAATCTAGTAAAATTAGGCTTGAAGGAATATACAGGTAACCAGATGCTATTTTTAGTGTTTTATTCTAATGAACATAGTTTAATTCTGTAACATGAGGTAGTTTGCAGGTCAGTTGCAGAAGCTGCCCTGAGCCCGTCCGCGGGTAGGGTGGGATATAAGTGTAAAGATTAAAAAAAAAAATTTTACATTGACTAGTGGCACTTGAAGGTTTGCTGTACTTAGAAAACTTCTGTGGTACAAGTAGCCTAGGGGGAAAAACTTCTTGTGATTACCTTCTTTGTGATCTTACTGTCTTGCATAATCTAAAAAACTGGTTCTTACGATGATCCACAGGCAAATTATTTCTCATCTCACTGACCTAATATGTATTGAATGATTATTATTTTCAGCCATTTCCCAGCATTGTAGTACCTAATGAAGAAACTCTTGAAGGCAAAAACACCCAAGACATGATGGCTTCAAATATGGAAAGGACACACGGCAGTAATGGCAGCTCTTTGGATTCAATTAAGGCTGATTCAGATCTAAGTAGTAAGAATTCTTTCTAAACTGATTATTTTAACTTCAGCTAATTCAGGAGGTAAAGGAACTGTACCGTGTTGTGTGTGAGACACACGTGTATGTGAGTGACGTAGGACAATGCTAATGAGGCACAAAGATCTCCATACTAGTAGTCTTTCTTGCCCTCTCTGATCAGTCCCTTCATAAAGGCATTATGGGAAAATAATGAGTTTGAAGATTGGAGTGACCCATGGGCATCAAGATAGCTTTCCCCTAAAACTCCCATCTCAGGCCTTGCTATAAATTTTTTGCAGGCATAAATTGTCAGGCTCCAAGTCTCTGGAGTAGACTGAAGGAAATGGAGGGGGAAATGGGAACCAGTCACTGAAGGAGGCAGTACCTTGAAAGGGCATATAAGAGAGGCTGTTCACTCCCCTGGGCTGCAGTGAGGTAGCTAGTGGGAGGAGCTGATGCCTCAGTACAAACTGTATTGACCTAAACAGGATCAGGTATTGAAGCAGAGTGAAGTCACGTTAGGCATAGTTTGGCACAGAGGCTTTAATGCCTCCTTTATTCCAACAGTCTGGCTACACTGATTGGTGGTTTATATTGCAACACACTCTGTGGGGGTCTGCTCTTGAAGACAACCCAGAATCTTCCAATTGATAGAAAACGCAGCAACTTACATGTGGGCTGGGGTGAACCAGTGGAGCATTTTACACCAGTTCTGAGAGTGGTGTTGTATTGATTATCTGTTTAGACTCAATACAAGGTACTGGTACTTACCTCTTAAAACACTTTATTTCCTGAGACTGTCATATCTTAGGGACTACTTCCTATATTAACCCAACTCATTAACATTTGCTTACTGTAGTATCTCCGAAGGAGATGAGAGCGGCCTCTACCAGTGTTCCCTCTAAGCTGAGTTAGTGTGAGCTAGCTCACAGCTTTTTAGCCTCCGGCTCACGTATTTTTGTCTTAGCTCAGGAAGGATGGCTCCAGAGCAAACAAATTTATGCAGTTGCCAAATCGCTCACTCACAACTTTAATGCCAGAAGCTCACAAAGTAGAATTTTTGCTCACAAGACTCCACAGCTTAGAGGGAACATTGCCCTCTACCCATTCCTGTGCTTTACCTGCAGTATTCTCAGTTTTGTAGTGCAGGCTTCCCTTTCCATCCTTTCTGCTTTTAGAAAAGATTGCAAGGTGGTGACGATGCTTTAGAGGACTGTCAGTTAATGGTGTCTAGAGTCAATTTTGTGGTAATTTTGTCGATTATGTGGATTGTGTATTTTAATCTATTTTAGTTGTTTCTGATTTTGTGTTTTTATGAGCCACTTTGGACCTGTCTAGTGTGTGAAAAAATGCACGTTAGAAATTTTAAAAATAAAAGAAATAAATGATGGTGAATATAATATTATTTTTGGCTAGCACACTTCATCTACTGCAGCGGTTTAGCTCCAGCAATCCCAAGAAGCCTGACAGGGCACGGTGGACATAGACATTTCCCATTTGCCCTCAGAAAATGGTAGCTGAAGAAGAGTGACTGTTTCAGATATGATGGTTCCAGTCAGTTTTACTGGATGATCTCAGACTAAAATTTTGAGATAATTGCTCTATATTCAGTATAAGGTAAAGGTTCCCTTGTTTGAAAGCCAGTCGAGTCCGACTCTAGGGTTGCGGTGCTCATCTCCATTTCAAAGCCAAAGAGCCAGCGCTGTCCGAAGACGTTTCCGTGGTCATGTGGCCGGCATGACTAAACACCAAGGCACATGGAACACTACTTACTCATTGTATCTATTACTCCATTCATTGTAGCTTCTTTGTAATTTTCAGGCCTCTTTAGTACAGGATGAGGGAGATGTGTTTGGTGGGTGACTTTCCTCACTGAGAAGGTCTCAGCAGGACTTGATCTAAACTTGCAGGGATCCCTAACCTTTCTGAGCCTATGGGCACTTTTGGAATTCTGACATAGGGTGGTGGGCGCAACTACAACATGGCTGTCCCAGGAGGCGGAAGTAGCCACAAAATGTCAGGGAATAAAGTTATGCTTAACTATAATAGTAACTCTTCAACATTTCAGGCATATGGTCTGTTTAACAGGATGCCTTTTAGAATGAACCCATTATTTAAAAATATATTATTGGGTACAAACAGCTTACCTGAGTCACACAGTGAAGACCCTTGTGCTGCAGTGGCAGATGCTGCTGAGGCAATATTTTAAAATAATCTGCTCAACCAGTCGGAGGTCCTGCTGGAAAAGCCTCATCCAGTCCCTCACACTCTCTACAAACATTTGATGGGCACCAGATTATATATTTTGGTGGGTATTCTATATATATTTAAGAGTGGGACACATTTTCTTGTTAATCATGCCTCCTTTTCTTTCCTAGTTCAGCGAAATAATGAAATAGAGGCTGAACGTCTTATGGACAGTATTTGTGAACAAAATTTGCAGGAGGTACGTAAGCGACTTAATAACCCTTAATTTCCTTCTCTAGGAAGAACTATATTGATGATTTTTGATGTAAATTCCCAAGTTTATTTGTATAAGCCTTCTTTGGGAATTTGAATTTTTCATTTTCAGAAATTGCGGGAAGGTTTTATCACAGTCGGGGAATTTTTTACACTTCTCCAAGTTCATATTCTCATACAGAAACCTCGCCAGAGCCTGCTCCCACCCAAAGTAAGTGTATAAATCTACATGTTTATCTCATATTTGGCACATAAATTTTTAATTTGCCTGAAAAACAGCTCAGCAATATAACCTTTTAATCTTCATCGTCTGTGTACAAGTCTCACATGGGAACTACAAAGGCCAGCCTGGAATATTCTAGAGCTCATTGGAGCATGAGATGTTCTTTCTTCTCCTGCTAACCATTTTCTCTAACTTCCAGTCATTTGAGATGTGGAGAGCAATGTTCCCTCTAAGCTAGCTCACAGTTTTTCAGCCTCCGACTCACATTTTTGTCTTAGCTCAGGAAGGATGGCTCCAGAGCAAACTAATTTATGCAGTGGCCGAATCACTCACTCCCGACTTTAATGCCAGTAGATCACAAAGTAGAATTTTTGCTCACAAGACTCCACAGCTTAAAGGGAGCATTGGTGGAGAGCATGCCTTATTTTTCTCTTTGCTGTTGTGGAGAGATTTAACAGAAAGGTCTGTTTGTTATGATGATAAAATGAAAGGACAGATTGGGCAGCCCTGACCTGGATAGCCCAGGCAAGCCCGATCTCATCAGATCTCGGAAGCCAAGCAGGGTTGACTCTGGCAAGTACTTAGATGGGAGACCTCCTTGAAATACCAGAGGCAGGAGGTGGGGGCAGGCCATATTCAGCCACCTCTCTGAATATCCTCCAGGCCCCAGTAGGGGTCAGTCACCAGATGTCACCATGACTTCCAGGTGCACACACAGTCCATCACCAGAGATTGCCATGACTTCCAGGTGCACACACACTCACATGCACATATAAAAAAACACACAATCCCCCCCCCCCCCCCAAACAACAAAAAAGGAAAACTTTTTTTAAAAAAAACCCCCAAACCCCCCCCCCCCCCCGAAAGGACAGATCAGGCAGATCTTCTTTACCTCCACTGGATTGTTTTCTTGATAAAAGCATATTGTAGGATAGCATAAGTTGAGTGCCCATTGCGAATCTGTGGCTAATCAGCCAGAGCTGAAGCATCTTCAGCTGCCTTTCTGAGGGGAGTTCCTGTGGTAGGTGCATGCAGGGCTGTTTCTGGTTCTCCTGCATTTATCAAGCATTACTCAACCGAAGTAATGTTCAGAAGGGAAACTGAAGTAGAAAAAATGGTTACCGAAGCTTATTTAGCAGCGAGCCTCACACGCCCACCATCTAATACAATGTTAGCTTGCTCATCTCTCATGTGGGACTGCCAAGAGAACACAATGAAGAAATCAGTGTTGTTCTTGCCTGTAACTAATGTCCATCTCATAAAGTGATCAACTGTGCTGTCCCACATCCCTCCCTATAGGCTCTGTAACAAAAATACCTGCAAAGTTTTGCTGCTGCTCAGAAGAATTTAGGAGTGAGATATATATCCTCATCCTCCTCATGTGACCCAAAAGTGAGAAAAATCATTAGAGTGAAAGGAGGTGCCAGTCATACTCCTATGAGCTCCATAATACTCTGCAGTCAGCCTGTTCATGGACAGTTCCTATTTCTTGTTGTGGTGGTTTGGGAGAGGCAAGCCACTGCACAATTTGATAAGCGGCTTATTATTTTTCCAGGATTGCTGCAACAAAACCAGTCACATTTAAGCTCTGTTGGTGCACACGCATCATGTTTTTGGATCTGAAATGCACAGAACCATGTTGGGTCTGCTTTTTTCTCTTCCCTAGTACACAGTCAATGCATCTCCTACCCCAGAAGATTTGATTCTCAGCAAGTATGTTTACCATCCCAAGTTGCAGATTTACAATGAAGATTGTCAAGCTCTCTCTGAGATAATAGAAGAGTAAGCTACTTGGAGTTTTTGTTAATGTGTCAGCATGTAACTGAAATCTGAAAGAGCTGCAGTATCATTGGCATTCAGAAGATTGCTATTGTCCATCAACAGTGTTTGTTTGATGTTACTTGCTGAGTTTTGCAAGTTCTTCTAAATATGCGTTGAGTTTTCCTATCCTTTGTAGACAGTAAGACAAGCCTAATCACTTTCCTGTAGTGACCTTTACCTTCATCCCTCCTTCCTGGTGCTGCTGATTTTCAAGAATATAGTAGAAACACCTGCCCATATCCATCAGCAAAACTCCCTTGTTAATTAACATTAATAAAATAATACAATGAAAGACGATTACTTCAGTGGTCAGACATTATCAGGTAGAAGCTTCTCTACAATGGCTTTGGTGTTTGCTTGTGCCTTTGGAGCAGAAGTGGAACAAAAGAGATGGTGTGGGTTTTAAGTTTTAGAAAGCTCAGTGACACCGAACGCCTGGAGGTCTGAGTAAATAGTAGCGAAATGTGTTGTAATATTGTAGATCTTTCTCCTTTTTTTACAGAAGAATATTTGAACTGTTAAGAAAAGCTTTTCCAAAAGGTTTGAATGGCCTTATGCAGATAAATATTTATATCAAGCCTTAAGCAAGGGGGTGGGAGTATCTAAATGTAGTGTGAGCTGCTATGTATTCATCCCGGGGCATTTAAACTCCCCCCCCCCCATCCTGCCTGAAAGCTGCTCTCAGGGCTTGTGGGGTGCTCCACAGTGCCTCCTGATTACAGCTCAAGAAGCTGTTGTCCAAACAAAACTGAAGGAAATCCAAATGCCTATTTTAGGGCTGTTTGGTGCAAATAATCTACAATTAGTACAGCAGGCCTTAATAGTTTTACAGAAAAGGTAATGAATATCGGAAAATACTTCAGGAATATACAGTCAGTTGAAAGCACGGTTTAAGTTACTTGATACTCTAAATCTGCAGACTCATTAAAAATATGCACTTTTTATTAATGTTTCAGACTCAAGTTGTGTGCTGATAACAAAGATAAACTTCTGGTGAATGTGCATAAAAGTCTGTGGGAAGTAATGAGAACCTGCTCTGATAAGGAGGTACGGGCATGTATTTGTGTAACTGTAGCTATTGAGGTGTCTTTACAGTGCTGCGATTTTTCATGTATTGTTTCATCTATATGTGGTTGTCCATCAGCTATTCTTTGAGCACTGCTTGTCTGCCCATGCATGCTGATTATTTTTAGAATTTCCGAGATATATTTTAAAAAAGAAATCTGTGTACATGTACAAAGACAGCTGAGCACTCTTATGCTAATATTTTTGGCTAGATGGGGGTAGGGTTGGAGAGCTTTAGGCTGGGATTCTGAAGTTGCAAGGAGCCATGCAATATCAGAAAAATGAGCAAAACCTATTGCCTATTGGTAGATATGATTGAAATACACATATTCAGCACTCCTTAAAGACGAGAAGGAACATTAGGAAAAGGACCAGCGAAAGACACTATGGAGCCAGCGTAATAGATAGGGATGGGCACGAACCCAAAAAAGGGCCCCGCCTGAGCCGATTTGGCGAGTTCAGTTCAGCAGGGACTGCCTTGGAAAAGACTTCCTTTCCACCTTTCTTCCAACTGTCACTTGCTGAGGCCGGGGGAGGGGGACACACCTCGGAAGTGTTAAATGGCTGCCAGCCATATAACCTGTTGGTTTCGCTTCCCCCCACTTTGATGGGGGAGTGAAACCAAGAGGTTTAATGATGTGCAGCCATTTAAACCTAACAGTTGACCAAGTCTGCCAGCCAGCTGTTACGTTTAAATGTCTAGCAACCATTTAACTTTGAGGGGGAAGCGAAACCTAGAGGTTTAATGGCTCGTAGCCATTTGGGTCCACCGGTCAGCTGTAGGGGTTAAATGGCTAGCAGCCATTTAACCTGTCAGTTTTGCTTTCCCCCCTTGAAACGGGGATCAAAAATGAGGGTTTCAATGGCTGGCAGCCAGCTAACTGGTGAGTTTCGCTTCCCCTCACTTTGAAGGGGGGAAAGCAAAACCTAAGGGTTAAATGACTGGCCACGAACAACCAAACTGAACTTGCCCCAAGTCCCGGAACTGTTCAGGAAAGGCACTTTCCCCAAACATTGGTTCACAAACTCCAAACCAGCCCAAGTTTGGGCCAAATTTCCGTTTGTGAACCAGTTTGTGCCCATACCTAACAGCAGACACTGTGCAAATGTACCTGCTGAGCTTGTTTGTATGCACAGAGGGATGGGAAAGGGATTCACTTACATACTAAATCCAGATGTGAAGCATTCAACAGGGCACTTGATGAGGTACAGATACAATGAGGCAAAAATAAAGCAAAAGAATCTGCAGCAGAACAGAATAGTGGCTGGGCCTGGTAGTTCTGTTATCCAAGATAATCTGGCCATACTCTAAACCAGAGGGGTCAGACTCATTCGTTACAAGGGCCGGATCTGACACAAATGCCACTTTGTTGAGGTGAGCCATGTGTGCCATAAAATGTAACACCAGGTACCAGAGATATAAACTTTATAAAGGTGATTTCATCTGCTTCTGTCAAAGGGGTTGGAGCAGATGCGAATCTGAAATCACTTCACTCTCTCACATATAGGACAGATGGGCTCACATTCTAGCTGTATCTGAAGAAAGAAGTAATGACTCATGAAAGCTCATGTCCTGCCACAAATGTTGTTAGCCATTAAGGTGCTACTGGACTCTTGCTCTTTTCCCCTAATAAAGATCTCTCCAAGTGAAATAATGTGTTGATTTCAGACTGAGCAAAATCCACTCAGTGCTAGTAATAAAAATGAACATTAAAAAGCAAAGGGGTGGGGTTAATGTGAAGAAAGGCAGCCAGGGAGGTGGGTGTGGGGAAAGAGGGAGACGTGTTGAACTTGAACATATGAAACCCTAAATGTATTTTAAAATATTTAGCCATCTACTTCCCGTCATTAAACTTTTTTTTTTTTTTGCCATCTTCTGGGCATGGAGCAGGATGGTGGGGGGGGGGGAGGTATCTTTTGATTTCCTGCATAGTGCAGGGGGTTGGACTGGATGGCCCTAGAGGTCCCTTCCAACTCTATGATTCTAATGGAGTCCAGTCAGTGTTGTAATTCCTAATCAGGGTCTTTTTGAAAGAAAATAAAGTCTCAGATAGATACAGAGAAATATAATCTTAAAAAAACCTTCTCAGAATAAGCCAAAATAAATTTCTTTTAGTTTCCCCTTATCCCAAGACATCTCTTTCCTTAACCTGCATTTGTGTGACCAGACGACCCATACTAATCAGGTCTCAAAGTGAATAGCAGAGCAGGGTGATCTCAGTGTAAATTGTGCTTGTCTCATAAGACTTCCCCCTCCCTCACATGAAACTGCCTTATACTGAATCAGACCCCTGGTCTGTCAAAGTCAGACAGGCAGCAGTTCTACTCAGATTGGCAGCAGCTCTCCAGGGTCTCAGGCAGAGGTCTTTCCAGTCACCTGCTACCTGATGCTTTTAACTGGAGATAACAGGGTTGGAACCAGGGACCTTCTGCATGCCAAGCAGATGTTCTACCACTGAGCCACAGGTATAAACAGGGTGGGAAGCCTAATCAAGCCCTACCAAAGAGTGGTGGCAGGAGGAGGGGGGGAGAAATTCCAACCACACGAACCAGTTAAAATGTCCTTTGCAATGAAGAGCAAGCAACTTTTTCCAGAGTTGAGCTCACCTCGCCTCCCCCCCCCCCCCCCCCCCCCATCTCCAATGCCAGTTGCAGATTACAAGACACTGCCAGGCAGCAGCAAGAGGAGAAACCTCATCTTGGCACTGACTTAGTAAAAAGGGAGGCAGGCAGGGAGGGGAGTTATGCCAATCAAACCTGCCCAGACATGGCAGTCTCCTCTCACGAGTGGGGCCAACTCTACACCCTTTCATTCTGCATTGTTAAACGAGAGAACATTGCTAGGCTTCACTGAAAAGAGTGAGGCGAGCCAGCTTTCCAAACAAGTGTGCTACAGAAGCGCGCAGGGCTTTGAGGGGAGTCGGGGGCCCAAGCATGGCAATCCCACCTGCCTCTGGGTGATGTGCACACAGCTTCAGATGGAGAGATTCTTCTCCCCAATGCCATGGCCTTAAGCCCTCTCGCCTTGCTGCCAAGGAAGCCAATGGAAGAGTCAGGAAGTCAGGAGAAATTTTCTGATGCCATCAGAGCTTCCCTCCTATCCTTCCCTCCTTTTCTCTCTCTCTCTCTCTCTTTCGCTCTGTCTCTCTTCCCCCTCTTTGCTTCCGATCTCAGTCAGGGATAGCAAATAATAGAGGAGGAGGAGGAGGAGACCTCAGCCAATAGAGGGAAGGAGGGGCTTGGCTTTGTCTCTCTCCCCATGCACTTGAGGGAGATGGGTAAAAGCAAGCCATGCAGCAGCCCCAGAGAAAGAAGCAGCAGACTAGAGAGCCAGCTGCTCACGGGCCAGATAGGGACCCTGCAGGGGCCTGTTCCAGCCTGTGGGTCGTATGTTTGACAGTCCTGCTCTAAACCTTTTGCTGAGTATTCCAGAAACAAAAGCTGTTCATAAATATATTGTGTTAAAATCCTACTTAAATCTTTCAGAAACACCGCAATTTGTTTGTTTGTTTTCAATTACAGGTTGATTTAAATAGATATTTAGGCACCTCTGGGCTTGAAATTTTATTCTGTTGTGACTGCAGCTTGCTATTGCCACATTCTCAACCTAATCAGTTTTCTTCTCTTCCTGGTACTATCCTGAATCCCGCTGGCAGCTGAAACAGTTTGGAGCAGCACTGAACAAAATGAAATCCTGTTCTGCCAAGAAAAGCAAAGTACTGGCTCACAGAGGGAAAGCAAAATTATACATGAAGCTGGTGCAGAATGCACAGGTAAAACTGTTTCTGGAAGCCAGTGTGAGGCAATCTGTGGCTTTTTTCCCTCTGGCATAGAAAACTGCTTTTAATGCATTGGTTCCTGCCATTTCTCCAACAAGGTTGGGGCGGTATACATGGCATTTTCATATTTTTCTCTCAAGAACTATATGGGGTAGCATAGACTGGGAGATACTCATGGGTTCAAAGGCTGATTTATGACTGAGTCAAAGCTCCCAAAAGTTTAGACTCTGAAAATCTGGTTGGTCTCTAAGGTGCTACTGAACTCGAATCTTAATCCATCAAAACCTAGTGGTCTAGCTAAGGCAGTAGACCAACCATGACCTTTTCCCTCTCACAAATCTGTCCAAGGGACAAGAGGAACAGTCAGTAGTATAGGAATAACTATTTTGTTGGTTTTTGCCATCAAGTCACAGCTGACTCATGGTGCCAGGATTTTCAAGACAAGAGACGCTCAAAGGTGGTTTGCCATTGCCTGCCTCCATGTTACAACCCTGGCATTCCTTGGAGGTCTTCCATCCAAACTCCGGCCATTCCTGACCCTGCTTAGCTTCTGAGAGCTGACAAGATCAGGCTAGCCTGGGCTATCCAGGGCAGGATAGGGAATAACTAATACAGTGGTAATTTTAAAGATAAGCAGGTGTGAATGCGATCCAATTTCCTACATGGAAGTTCTGGGTGAGAATTAGATAAAAGGATAATGAATTTTTAAAAGCTGGTTTTATTTGGGAGTTAAGCAAATAGAGTCCTTGCCAAGATGACAATTAACCACAAATAAAAATTAGGTTCTAAATATCAGTTTTTCTTACATTTAAGCTCCAGTGGGAAAAGCTTCAGTCAAGACTACATGTAATGGATGAACTTTTTAAAGAAATGGATAATTGTCTTGTTGCTCTGGAAGCAGGTACGGCCTCAAATGTTTTTTAGACCACTCTGTTTTCCTGGTAGAAGAACCCCAATTATCTCATTCCCTGTTATCTATGATGTATGCTGAAAGCCTTACGGCCCAAACACATTAATTTGGTTTAGAACTGTTTTGAAATATTGCTGAAGGTGTTTTTTGTTAACAGTAAATCAAATTCCTGTAGTCAGGATTTGAACTAAAAATACCAAGGATTGAGTCTGGGACCTTATGGGTACAAAGAATGTGCTCTGCCGCTGAGCCACAGGTCTCATCTCCCAATCCTCAATTCCTGTTCCTCCTGAGCAATAAAAGCCTTTGCTGGAGCCCCTATGTGGAGTTGATGATGCTCTGTATTTTCCCTCTGGGCCACTGTCATGAACCTAGAGCTGAGGCTGAGTGGTGGAGTGGCCAGTAAACCTCAAAACAGCCTTTTACTCACTTAAAGGCCTCATCTTTGCTGTAAATTTTCCTGCAGACATATGTGTCAGGCACTCTTTAAGCCTCAGGAGTGGACCGGGGAAAGTGGAGGGAAAAACTGAACCAATTGCTGTTAAGGAGGCAGAGCCTTGGTAGAGGGAGCATATAAGACTCTGCACCAGAAGGGTAGGGGGTTTGCTTCCTGAAGGTCATGAAAGGGAGGGCAAGAAGGGTTGCATCAGTGCTTAGTTCTTGTGACCCTTTCTTACACCCACATGGAAATGCTGATCACCACTTTGGGGTCAGGGAGCAATTTTTCTCTGAACCAGTTTGGCTGAAGATCCTGGGGTTTTTTTTTTGTCATCTTCTGGGTGTGAAACAGCGATTACTGGGGGTATGGAGAGGTAGGTATTTGTGAATTTCCTGCATTGTGCAGGAAGTTGAGACTAGATGATCCTGGAGGTCCCTTCCAACTGTATGATTCTAAGGTGGGTTGCAGTGGGGCTATTATCAAGTGACCTGATAATCTCAAGGTGGCGTTGAGTCTGACGTGAAAGGGGATTAGGTGCTGAAATAGTGACAGGAATTCAGTCAGAACCTTATTGTTTTCCAGCTGGCTTCTTTTCCGGAAAATTTGCCCTGTGTGTCTGTAACATACCCTGTGTTAATCTGCTCTTTACAAATACTTGTTTTAATAAATTAGTCTCTTTTGTTTACTCTGCCTGGGTCCTTTACGTCTCATATTGAGCCATACAACAAGGCATGTCCTGACCAAAGAGGAAGCGGGGGGGGGGGCAAGGAGGGTGTGGATCTTTATAGTCAATCCAGAGTGGTACAGCCAACCAAGGTCCTTGCCAGCTCTGGGGCTGAAAGGGAACGATGTGTGTGTGGGACTGGAGGGCTCCCCATCCACAACAAAGCCTTGCATGATGGCCCCACCTCTTCCTGTGACAGCCCCAATGGCTGAACGTGATTTCTTCTTAAAAATCTCAGCTAGTTAAAACTATACTGACGATGTAGAACACACACAGCCCCTTCTTACAGGACCTCCTGCAGGATGATGACTAATATATGGGAGATTTTGGTATTTACTCATTATCCTAGGGAGTGGTGGCGCAGGGAGTAACAGCACCTGCAGTAACATCTATAGCGAACAACCATAATGGCTGTTCGAATCCCCACTGCGGCTGGAGTGAGCTACCGGCCCCAGTCCCAGCTCCCGCCAACCCAGCGGCTCGAAAGTAATTGCAAGTAGAGAAATGGGTACCTGCCTTAGAGGCGGGGGGCACCCTCCTCCTGGTTCTGTGCCAGGAGGGTTGACGGCGACGATGGCAGTAAGAGAAGCAGCGGCGGCGAGGAAGAACAATGGCAGCGTCTGGCGGACCGAAGGAGCGATGACGACATCGGATCGAGGGGGGACCGGATGACGCAACTGCGGAGCGACGCGGCGCGGCTGGAGCCCGAAGGGACGAGTAGCCGGGAACGCCGCAGTCCAGGAGCAGTGCGCATCAACGGAGGGTCCATCTGCAGCCCGCTGATGGTCGCCGCTCGCCGGAATGCCAAGACTACGCCGGAGCCACCGAGTACGGAGAGAAGCCTGTCGTCCGGGTGCTGCTAGGCAACCCCTCCCTGCACAATTGTCGCCCTAGGTAGGATCTGACTATAATAATGTAGGCCACTTGTAAACCGCTCTGAGACCCAGTAGGGGTCATGAGCGGTATAGAAGTCACATGTAAATAAAAATAAATAAAATAAAAAGATATATTTAATGATACAATGAAAGAAAAAAATACCTCTAATTTACTGTTTCCTGAGACTTTTTAATATATTCATTTATTCTCTTGAGCTGTTTGGCAAAAGCGTGAAGGAATGTTAATGTCAATTAAGTTTATCATATCTTGAAAAGCAAAAAAGAGGACATGTTTCCCAACTGACTACTTCAAACAAATGATTACTATGACTACTCTCATTTTAAATACCCCTACTATTTAAGCTGTGATAATTGCTACTAACTAGGAATATTCCTAACCTTCCAACCCAAAAAGAGGACATTTTCATCAATTTTTTAAAAAGAGCCCAAAAGAGGATGGACACCAAAAAGAGAGGACATGTTCTCTAAAAAGAGGACATCTGGTAACCCTATGTAAATAAAACTTCTAATTACTGGAAGTTGAATTCTCCAAGTTGTTCCTTAGGTACAAAGTTTGCATTTCCTGCTGGGTTCATTTGAGTAAAGTATGAGATTTTTTTGGGATTGACTATTCTTGTACTGCTTGCTTTTCAGAAATTGCTAACTTGGAAGAGTCTGAGCTAGAGGTCAGTGAATCTGTGGCAGAGTATGAGTCCAAACTGAGACAGACTGAGCAAGGTAATGGAGCTGTTTTGCATGGCGTGATAAATGTATTGTCAGTTATGTGTAAATGTTCTGAATTGGTGTGTCCAACTTTTTAACTACTTCAAGATGGACTGTCTTAGTATTGCTTAAAAATAAAGATGATATTCTCGTACGTTTAGGCCAGCTTTCCACATGGTGAATCTCTCTATTATAATATTCATGTACATGCAGTGGAAAGCTATGATTGGCTGTAGCTTGTTCGAACATGTACATTTTGTGTACATGCTGTGAACTGCTTGCCTGTAGGACCATCATGTATGATTATGATCCGTAATATACTGAAATTATTTCCACATAGGAACTTCATAATGTGCACATTTGTGTTTAGTGAAGAAGCATGCATTTGAATCTTGTTGGGAACTGGACTGTCTTAATCAAATATTTATTATGTATTTATTGCCTACTGCTGGATTCTCACTGCCTTTTCCCCCTTCAAAGAGCTAGAAAACTACAAAGCTCAAGAGGAGGCACTTCAAAGGTAGATTTTGACTTGCATTTTCATCTCAAAAAAGCTTCTTGGTTAACTTATTCAGGATATTTTGTTGATACGTTGTAGTTTTTTTAATGGCATACTTGCAGAGATCAGTCAAATCTTAGAGGACAACAACAACAGAGAGTTTCTGAAATAGGACGTCTCCAGGAAGAAGCCAAAAGTTGTCAGGAACATATGGAGAAATACAAGTAAGAGGGTTAAATTAAAAGTGTTCTTATTCTGATGCTACCTACCAGCCAATTAGTTTCATACCAGCATATCTTATTGCAGTATATTTAAGATTAGTGATGTCTTTCAGTATCATCCTCAGTAGGAGTGAATCTAGAATTCAAGACTGACTCAGTTTCACCTTCTAAAGAGGGATGGCAGATTTTTACTGTCTTTAAAACTACATTTAATTATGTTTCATTAGGACCTGAGATCTCAACTTAAAAGTATGTAAATCTGTCCATTACTGCTCATACAGCTATAGCCTTGAGCTGAAAATATGTTCAGAAAATCAATTTTGAAAAAAGTAGTCCATGGCTATTGAGCCCCATTTTTTGCCATGTATTTTAAGCACTCTTTACTTAGGAACTCTCCTGTCTTTTGAAAGGAGAAACTTAATAATAAGCCACAGAACCATACTAGAGTGCATATTTGCCTTGTTCTGATTGTCTTTTGATAAATTATGTTTGTAATATCTTTCTGTAGCTTCTCTAAGTGGGTGATGAAAGAATGGAATGATCAGCAGGCAATTTTCACCTTCCTTTGTGATTCTATTGAACTCACTGTTGTGCTTGAATGCCCTGTGGGTAAGTGGCAAAAACAGGAAAAACGTGTTCCTGGTTTATAAATGAATGCTTGAAAGCATCATTTCTGAATATATGTTTTTATGTTCCAGTGTATTTTTTTTATTTTGAGAAAACAAAAAAATAGTATAAAGGAAATACAGAAAGAGGAAAAAGGGTTACCTAACATAATTATATATAACAAAGTATAACATACAAAAAATCTTTCTCTCCAATGCCCCCTTCACTACATTGAAAATTTTTAGGACTTTGTCTATAAAGTTCAGTGATATTTACTTCTGATAGGGTACGTGTATAGTCATCATTTTACATTTTAAAATTTGTAACTAGTCTATTTTGTAGCTACATTATTAGTTCCATCATTGCTATATACTTGCATACCCATATTACTTTTAACAAGAAGTTAATATAGGAAAAATACAGAAGGAAAGTCTATTATATATCATAATAAGAAAATTTAAGAAGATGTTTCTCCCCAAAGTCCGTTTCCTTATGCACATTTATATTCAGGATGTTACATTTAAAATTAATTCACATTGTGCTTCTTCTTCATTACCATACATTTGTATACAATATTTTAAACTGCTTCTCATTTTAAATTTGTCTCCTGCTTGCATGGTCCATACTCCATCTCTCCTCAAATTTCATAATTGATCTGTTTCTCAAATAAGTTGTTAATTTCACCGTTACTGCATATTTGGCAAATTTATTTCCCCATATATTCCAGTGTATTAAATTATTGCCCTGACTGGTATAGCTCAGGCTAGCCCAGTCTCATCATATCTCAGAAGCTAAGTGGGGTCAGCCCTAGATAGTACTTGGATGGGAGACCACCAAGGAATACCAGGGTCGCTATGCAGAGGAAAACAATGGCAAGCCACCTCTGAATGTCTCTTGCCTTGAAAACCCTCTGGGGTCACCATAAGTTGGCTGTGCCTTGATGGCAAAAGAACCCAAAACTGAATTATTATCTATTAGAAGTAGTAAGGTTCAATGAAATCCTCATAGTAGCTGAGAAAATATCATTAAAACTATTTTTAAAAACTTTAAACACCAGTTCAGGTAAGGCATAACTAACTGGGGAACAGCTAGAGTTCTTTTTGATCAGAGTATCAGATCTATAAAAAGTGCATGGTTTGATACAGACTAAAGTATTATTTTGCCTTCCATTCTGATGTCATAACTAAGGTTGTCAGCCTGTGTCTAAGTTGTATATCTTCAGATGTGAATTTGGTTTCTACAAAAGGGAGAAAAGTTCCAGCCAATCTTCTCCTTGACATGCTACTTTTCAGTGTTCAGAGTTTTGATATTTATTTAGGTTAGCCCTCCTCTGCATCTTGAAGTGGTGTTGCCTAGACACAAGGTTCAGAAATCCATCTCAATCTTTATCTTGCTTCTGCTTTTAGATGTTGCTGCTTTCACCACCAAAAAGCTCTACAGGAAGATAGTTGGTGTGCACTTCGAATCATTGTTGGATGGTAAGGTTCTGAGCTGTTTTGCTTTCAAGACCTTTTTTCCCCCTTGAAAGGGATTTTAAATTTTCAGCCAGGTGAAATGTCCTTCCAGTATGTCCTTCACTAAAATATTTAAAAGTCTAGTTTTACGAGTCTTCGTTCTTAACAACTCCATGGAAAAACAGTGAAATTGCCAAGCCATTACAATGCAAAAGGATTTATTTTGGGGTAGTCACACAAAACTTGAGCCTTTACAATAAAACAATTTAGAATACACAGAAGTTAAATAGAGCTGTTCTCACTCTAGAGGAGAGTGTCCGAAGACAGGAGGTTCCTCCTCTCTGTTACAGCAGGCAGGACTTCTAGAAACTGCTTCTTCAATTCCTAAAAAGAAACCCTCCCAATTTACTGCAGGCCTCCACTGAGCAAGTAAGCTGCCTTGTGGATCTTCAAGCTTGCAAGGCCTCATCTTCTTTTAGCAATCTCCTTTCTTTCCTTCTAGTTGGTTTCAATGTTTCCTCTAAGCTGTGGAGTCTTGTGAGCAAAAATCGTACTTTGTGAGCTGCTGGCATTAAAGTTGTGAGCGGGAGATGTGGCTACTGCATAAATTAGTTTGCTCTGGAGCCATCCTTCCTGAGCTGAGACAAAAATGTGTGGCCGGAGGCTAAAAAACTGTGAGCTAGCTCACATTAACTCAGCTTAGAGGGAACACTGGTTGGTTTAGTTGTTGAGCAGAGAGGAGGTCTGCTGTGACTTTGCCTAGGCAGAAGCTCTACAAGAGTGCATCTGGATCAAAGATGAAGCTGCACAACGAAGCAGTGTAGTTCTTGGGCTCCCCAGAATGGGCAAGATACAGGTTCTAGGACGAATACTTCTTACTGGGACTGTCTTTCCTCAGGATAGTGTAACTTGATCAAGTACAATGGGGTAGAAATAGAGGCCTTCATACGTAAGGTGCACAAGGTTTCTGTCTTGGCCATCAGGCCCAGCATATCCAGTCCAAGTCTCCAGTGGGTCCTGGGATGCTAGACTGTTAGGTGAAGCACCTTCTCCTGGATGCATGAAGCCGCTCCTACTGGAGTCAGAAAAAAGCTCACAATGCTTCCTGTGTCCAGGAGGAGGTGCTTCTCCTAACAGTTTAGACTGCAGCACCTTGGAATAACTGAGAAAGGACATTCACAGTAAGTGAATAATTTTTTCCATTTTCAAGATTGTGATCTAAGGACATCTTCATGGAGATTGGCCCACCCCTTCCCCAGGTCTTAGGCGTTCTCCAGGCAGTTCTCCATGAACTCACAGCCCCAGACTTGCAACTTGATTCAGGAGTGATATCAGCCTAATGCCAGGATCCTACACAGGAGGCAAAACCTGAGAAGTTCTTTCGTACATGATAAATGTTTACCACCATCCTGTAGCTGCTAGAGACCATTCAAAGATGAATTCACAAACCTTCCCTGATACAAGTTCATTGGGTACTTAGGTCAAAGAAACTAGATAAATAGTAGAAACTAGATCACAACATCTTGTATTGAGACAACCAGGAAATTGAAAGATTCCATTGCAAGAGTCATGTGGTGGCATTTTATCCACCTTCTTCACAGTTCTAAAGAAAAAATGGAGACCAGAAAGCAATGTGTAATTCTACACATGTCTACCAGTTTCTGCAGACAAAGAAGCTTCACTTGGAAACTCTTCACAGCATTCTGGGAGCTATCCAGCCTAGGGGTCTCCTTAGCCTCAGTAGGCCAGGGATCCCCAGCGTGGTACCCATGAGAACCATGGTGCCTGCCAGCACCTTTCCTGGCACTTGCCAAGTATTTTTCGAAGGTGGGCAGGGCCAGGTGGGACTTTTGCCCAGCAAGGCTTCTGACTGACCATTGGAAATGTGATTGGCTGTGCAAATTTATAAAAAATGTTGCTTTGGAAGCAACTGCCACCACAGCACGAGGATCTTTTCTGTGTGACCAAATGTAAGCTACAGCAGCCATTTTGTGGCTAGCTCCACTTCCTGTGGCAGCAATTTTGTAGTAGTGATTTTGTAGCTGCACCTACCATGTCAGAATTCCAAAAAATGTCAGAATTCCAAAATGTCAGAATTCCAAAAGTACCCACAGGCTTAAAAAGGTTGAAGACCCCTGCAGTAGGCCTACCCTACCCTCCTACCATGAGCACTCCCCACCACCACCACCTAAAATCACCAGTTTCAACACAAAACTTCACCAATTCTTTGGCCTGGCCTCTATTCCCAAGAGTTTTTACCAAATGTGTTTGTTGTGGTGGATCACCTGAGAGCACTAAGGATTCACATCTATCCATACTTAGATGACCTTCTGGTGAAATGGTTTCATAACAGAGCAGAGAGAAGGCTTTCTTCAGTGCTTTCCTTCTGAGATTGGATGAAGCCAGCTTTCACACATGATGATTAGATTTGCTGTTGTCTGATATCCATCTTGGGATGTCATCCACTACTTCACTTCATGGACTTTCTGTAAGGGTTGTTTCTGGTCCTACTGGAGACTGGCATCATGGCCTGCCTTAACCGTTACTCTGGCAGTGTATATTGAAAATAATGAGGTTTTCACCTATAATGAGAATATTTGGTCCTACTTCTGCCCTACCACTTTCTGTCTCTCACTTCTCTGCTCCTTGCCATATGCATACATTTCACTCTTAGGGGGTGAAGGTCAAGTGCTGTTCATTTGCTTTTTAAATTTTTATTTATGTTATTTCTAGCCTTTCTTTCTCCCAAAAGACTCAAGGCAAGTTAAATTTTTATCAAAACCATTTCAGTTCTGTACCCAGGCCTAAAGCCAGACTGAAAAGGGTTTTGCTGTTTTGAAAATAGTTTTTTTGTCAGCTTGTATACATTCCTAAACTGGAGCAGATTCTTCCCGTGGTGGTGGTGGTATTATTATTGTTGTTGTTGTTGTTGTTATCCATTATTAACCATTCAGCCCTATATGGCATAGCCCAGCACAGGTTTACTACCTCAACTAGGCCTGTAGACATATAGTTAGAATTTCTTTCAGCTATGAATGAAAATGACTTTGGATATAACTTAATTTACTATAAAGTTTTGGTTGTTCTTGCAGAAGCGAAAGCACCAACTTCTTCCACACTAGTGCAAAGGCTCATTTTCCAGTTTATTGCTGATCAATGTTCATGGCAGGAGAAATATTCAACACTGCATCATCTTCATCAGGTAATGTAACAGGAAACATTTTTCCAAGTAAAGCTTAAAATGTGATCTGTACCAGGCCATGCTGGTACAACCAATAACCTTTGTAAATTCTGCTAATTTAATCGGTTTATTAAAGCTTAGGAACAGGGTTGCCAACTCTGGCTTCACAAATTCCTGGAGATTTGGGGGTGGAGGTGGCGGCGGCTACAAGCATGGACGGCTTCAAGAGGGAATTAGATAAGCATATGGAGTAGAAGTCTATCAGTGGCTATTAGCCACAAGGTATAGATAGGAACTCACAGGCTGCAGCAAGTGATGCTCTGTATTCTTGGTGCTTTTGGGGGGGGGGAGAACAGTGGGAGGGCTTCTAGTGTCCTGGCCCCACTGGTGGACCTCCTGATGGCACCTGGTATTGGCCACTGTGTTACAGTGTTGGACTAGATGGGCCATTGGTCTGATCCAACATTGGCTTCTCTTATGTTCTTATGAGCCTGGGGAGTGAGGAGGAACCATAGAATTTGCCTGCTGAAGCAGCTGTTTTCTCCAGGGTTCCTGATCTCTTTAGTTTGGAGCTCAGTTGTAGTTCCAGGAGATCTCCAGTTCCCCCCTGGAGGCTGGCAGTCTTACTTGGGAGTGGAGACAGAGAGCTGAATTCTAAATGCAGAATAATGTTCATTTTGTCAGCAGTACTTGTCACCTTTGTTGGTATTAGGCATTTAGAATGCCTTGGTCATGCCATGTATTAAACTAACTTCAAACTATAACTTTCTACATGTCCCACTGATTTTTAGTTGAGCTATTAATATAAATAAATCAATATGAATAAATGAGAAAAATAAAAGGAGGAGAAGCCAGTGGCTTGTCTTGTATCCTGCTGTATCTTGAACCGGGTAGATTCCAGCTAAGCATTCACTTTCATTTTATGAAGACAATGCAGAAGAAGAGTGACTTAGAGCCATACTAAATGTGACAGCAACCATGGGGCTAACCCGTAGCCACCAGTGCCATTTTAGAGGAGGAAATAGCTATTTAAAAATTGCCATGAGGGCCTGGTCTTGACTCTTGATTGGGCCAGCAGTGTGGCTGCAACAGGTAATCTTACCCCCCTCCCCCTCCGGGTGTATGCCTTTTAAAGTATGGAAAGGTACAGATAGGGGAACCAAGATCATCGGTTGCCATCACAGGATCAGGCCCTTGTGGCAATTTTTTAATGACTGTTTTCTCCTCTAAAATGACGTTGATGTTTAGTTTGGCCCTTTGCTTACTTCATAGATTGGGTGTTGCATCTCTGGTGATTAGACTTGCTGAGCTGCACTGCTTATTCATCGTCGTGGCTTCTGTTCAGTCCCACATTAGCCCTATTCCTAAAATCTAGTTTTAAAGGCTAACACAGCAGCCTCAATCCACCGCCCTGCTGCACTCTCTCAGCACTGATACTTACTCCTACAAGGCTTTTCAATACAGGTGTTATTTCAAGCGCAGGCAAAGCTTACTGTTTCCATCTTCATGGGGAACCCAGAATTAATCGGCAAGTATGCTTTGGGAGGCAAGCCTAAGTAGTTTGCCACTCCTCTCGGTTCCATGGTATCCTTTGGGACCATCAATGAATTGGGGGATTCCTTAGCCCGCACAAGTCACTCTTATGTGACATTATTCACAGCAAGACCCAGTGTTATATGTGGATTCAGTGTTGGTCTGGCCCTAGGAGATCAGGTTCAAATATCAAATTGTGTTACAATTTCCTGACCTTGTACTTTCACAGCTTCTCATGGTGCCCTACCTTGCAGGGTTCTAGTGAGGATAAGAAAGAAAGACGAGGTGTTGTAAGACTCTTTGGCTCCATGTTACAGAGTAGGATAAACTCCTTACTACTTTTTTTTAAAGAGAGCATATGGTTTATTCTGCTCAAAACAGCTGCCCTAATAGACAAGGGTCCAGTGGTCAAACTATTGTTTCTTGTTGCATCCTCTGCTACAATCAATGATTGTATGCTTTATTCCATGGGTCATCCATATTGTTCCTGTTGGCCTACAGGTCAAACACTACTTACTCTTTATTTAACCAGTGCAGAGTATTAATGATCTAAAATAAACCCAGTTGGGATGCAGTTTGTTTCTTTTTCTTTCTATACTGCACTTTCCCATTAGTTTATAAATCAACAGGTCACTATGACCTTTACACTATTCTGTTTGAATGTATCTTAATGCACTGTGGTTTATGGCCTATGCTGGTAATCTGCATGATAAATCTGTCCCTTTAATTTGGATCACTCATGTGATCCTACCTTAGTCCATGCTAGGAGATAATATAAACAAAACAAAGAAGCGAAAAACAGAACAAAACAAAGCATTAAAGTAAATTACCTCCTCGCAGAGGTTATGAATTCTGTCCAGTTGAACAACATTTTGGAGGCAATAACAGGCTTGTTGTCGGATCCCTGAGTCACGTTTCTTTCCCGCCTTCATTTAAGGTGATGTCTCAGGGTTCTGCATACCTTTTGTCCATGTACAAGAGGCCAAGTCCCATCCTTGGCATCTCCTACTGACAAAGTCTGGTGATCAGGATCCTTCCACCTCTGCTGTTTTGTCCACCAGGCTTCCTGCAATTCTGTGTGCACCTATGTCAATTGGTGGACTTTTGCCCTCCTCTCCTCTATATGAGGGCTACCAGTCTCCAATTGATTATATCATTCCATTTAGTGATAAATGGGGAGGATCTATAGCTCAGTGGAAGAGTGTCTGCTTGGCATGCTGAAGGTCCTAGGCCCTCCGGTTAACGGTCTGGCAATAGGTGATGTGCAGGACCTTTCTCTGCCTGGCACCTTAGAGAGCTGCTGCCAGCCTGAGTGGACAGTACTGACCTTGATGAACCAACGGTCTGATCCACTATAAGGCAGATTTGAATTGCTCTGTTACATCCCCCCCCCCTCCCGGGACAGGAAAAACGATGTGATTTCAAATGATTCTTATGTCTTCAGTGCAGCGCCTGAAGAGACGCCTATGATAGGCCCAGATCCAGCGACTCATAATACGGCTGCGCCCGTCCCCCATCCGTCCCTTCCGCTGAAGAAGCGCACCAAAAAAGAACCACCTAACTGGGTGGTTCAATCGAAAGGGCCGCAGCAAGTGCGCAGTTCAGCAGCCTCCCCCTCCCACTCGTTTCTTCCTCCCCGGCATCTGATCGTGCCAGGGAGCAATGACGCGCGGCTCACGGGATCCATGGGATCCCGCCCGCAGCATCTCTATTTTGGTGCGGCTCTAATTAGCCACACTTTCACCGGTGTTTTCCCTGTCGTGTGGCAGGGGCCTAAGATTGTCAGCTCTGTTTAGCTTTCACTGCTGCATTTCCTAGCATTTTTACATATCTATATGTGACACCATAAATAAGACTGTTGTTTTGTTGTGTCTTTACCCTTCACGGGACGTTTTCTTTCTGGTCTCAGCACAGTCCTTTCTCTCACAGCATTTCTTTTGTCTATGATCTTCTAGAAGTAGTGCCATCTCCGATGGCTCCTTCATTATATCTGGGAACTTTTCCCAGTAACTCCTGGTGTTCTGCAATATTAATTACTTTACCTTGACATGATGGGCTTATTTACTTTGTCTCTGGTTTTAGTGCAAACTCTCCACAGAGTTAAAGGAGGCACTGTAATAATGTTTTAACGAATTATCAGACACCAGTTCCCTGGTATTCTGATTGGAGGTCTGGGCTACTTGGCATAGCCCCACAATATGACATTCCAGACCCTGGCCTTTATGCTTTATTCCTGACAATAACCTTGTTGTTGTGGAATGCGCTTCTAATCCCTGACAAAGACAACCTGTTGTTATACCTTTTTTCTCTGCCTATATTGCTGCACAAATTGCTCTGCAGACTACACAAGTTTTTTTCCTTGTGGAGCATTCTGTCCATCCTTTCTTTAGCCACATCACACCTCTTTTCACTGCCTTCGTTACCATCGTGCAGATCTGCTTATTCTCACTCCTGCTGACAAATTGATACTTTGGTCATCTGCTTTCCTGCATTGTAGCAGTAGCCTCCCACTTTTCTGAGTAGCAAACACCACTCTTGTACTTGTACCACTCTTGTACTTGTACCTCTAAGTGGAGAGGAGAGTCTGTATAGAAATTGCAGCAAGGTTTGGACTCTGCTTCTTGTGCTATTGAATGTTTTTGGCAACTGATTTAAAAAACAAAAACAAAACCCTCTTTGGTATTTTCCTTGTTGGATTACTAAGCATGCTACAAAAGACAAGTATAACCCCTTGTTTTATTTTTGGCATTTACATGGTTCTTCATTTATGATAGTGTTCTAACTTATACCCTCTCCATGCATGAAATTTCAAAAGGTGATGTCCTGCTGTAATCCCCTACCAAGGGTGGTCTCTCACTCCTCATGTAATGCATGGTCAGCGTCCTCCCACAATCCATCCTTGTGGGTCGGTTGACGCTATCACACTGTGTTTGACTGCACAGCCTTTCATTACTACTCTGTGTATGATGGCTCTTTCCAAAAGAGTGCTCTTTTTTTTTTTTTACCACATTCCCACATGTATTTTGGTGGGGGACTTGCACAGAGCTTACTGCTCTGGTATAGGAGAGTTCTGGGTGAAGGTCAATTTGTGCCGCTAAACAACTGTTGATAAAGCGGTCTTCAGTGGTCTCTTGAGAGCTTCACACCCACCTCCTTCACTCAGTGATCTTGCTAATCTTCCCATGTGGGACTGCACAGAAGCCACGACAATGATAACAAGGTTGCACTTACCTGTAACTGTTGTTCATCGAGTGGTCTTCTGTGCAGGGACACATCCCTCCCGCCTGCCCCGCTGTGAACTCTCTGGAACTTTAGTTTTCTAGGCGGCATGGAGAGAACTGAGGGAGTAGCGCCCTTCCTCCTGGTTATGTGAGCGTTTTGGCGGGAAAGCGCCAGAGGGAGGAGGGGCGCTCCTAGTCTAGTAGAAAGCTTGGAAATCTTTTCTGTGGCTGGCCTGCGACTGCACAGTCCCATGTGTGCCTGCACAGAAGACCACTCGATGAACAACAGTTACAGGCAAGTGCAACCTTGTTTTACAACACTGAGCTTGTGGAATGTATGGGGAAGGTATCTAAAATGAATTTGCTGGCATTGCAGTCAAATGAAGCGTAATCTGTGAGAATTCTGAGAACAGGGCCAGGGCGATTCCTTCTCCTTAGTCTAACAATTGATCAGCACTCCTTGCTTCTCTGTATCCTTTGTATGAACAGCCACTTCATACACAGGCCCTGCATGCTGTCAGTCTTAACTGCTGAGCGATTACAATAGTCACACTGATGCATCTTAGTATTTCCCCATATTTCCATGATGTTTTGTGCTTTCATGCCAATAAAGGTTTTGTGTGTTGTGTATTACAATAGTCACAACATTCCCAGCTGGTTGGGGGAGTGCAACTCACTTGAAGGGGATAAGCAAAGCCAGAACTGCTGCACACAGTAGCTGATTACAGTCTTTATTTGATACAGATGGTGCTTTTTTGCAAGTTTCTGAAATTTTGGGGACAATAAATCACTATTTTTCTAGAAAAATCTGTATATTCTGTGCTTTAATGTGATACTTTATTCATATTATGATTACCCAAATAATTCATTCAAATCCTGTCTTGGCAATAAAATTAGCTTTATAGATCTGCCATTTTAAAATGTTGTCATTGATTGCAACTTCTGATTATCAAACCAGTTGCTGCATGATCTCTCTCTTGTGGTGAGTCGCTGTCAGCTCCTAGGAGAAGAAATAGAATTTCTGAACAGATGGGGTGGAAAATTTAATCTTCTGAAGACAGCAGTGAATGATACAAAGTAAGTGGTTAAAGTCTAAATAATACAAAATGTATTAAGACTGTGAACATTAAGACTGATGGGGAATTTTGAGGATTGTATGTGCCTAAAACAAAGTTGACACATTTCACCTCTGCAGACTAATGTTCACGTAATATAATACAACCCCAACCCTAATTTTTTGTCTCTATATTTTGCTTCATACGTAGAGTGAAACTATTATTCTCCAGTTCTCTGGTTTTTGCAAAGTTTGAAGTTGAGTTGTCTCTCTCTGCCAACTATCCTATGTCCCCTGTGGCTTTCACTGTTCAGAAATACACAGGCAATCTTGGGTAAGTAAAACAAACCAGAGATCTACAGTTCTGTAAAACAGTTTTAAGAAAATAATTGAATTTCCAGCATCACACATGTATGTGTTTTCTCTTCCTAGCCAAGAAGAAATTTCTGAGGTTTTGTCTAGAGTACCAGTGGGAGCCAACTATTTGAGAAGAATGGTCAATCAGATTCATCATAGTCTACTCCAGAATCCCTGAGCAATTTACAAACAGCGAAAATAGTTCCATGTGCAGCTCTCAGATGGGACACTCTGACTCTTGAATGCTGAGAAACATGATGTCAGCTGCCAAGAGAGCAATATTTGTGGTCAGATCTTTAGACACAATCTAAGCACAAGTATGTAGTATTGCAAAGCCTCTTGAAAACAGTAATAACAAAAGAATTTCATATGGCTCCTTTTTGGTTTTGTGTGTCCCCCCCCCAGTCACTTTTTCATAGCTTCCGGTGCTGTCTATGGTTTTTTATCTCTAGGAAACCAGCTCCTCTAAACCATGAAACTGATGTAACTGATGTAATTCAATTCCAGTAGTGTTCATAATTTGAAAGGTTCTTTACTTACAGTTACGGGTATCTTCCAAGTTGTGTGTGTGTGTGATTAGCATTAGCCTTTAAGCCCCCCCATAAATAATGAGGTTTTATTTTCATAAACTTGCTGGAATAACTGCTAAACTGAAATATCACTAATTGGCACTACAAGATTAAAATATTGCACTTCAAAAACTAGACGTGCTTTCCAATCCCTCTGAAAAGTAGACTTGATTCCAGGATGAACTTGAGAGTTAATTGCTTTTGTACTTTGACGGAATTCTTCAGTTTTTGAAAACATCTCAGTCATAACACCAGTGATGTATTTTAGATTATTGCTGATGGGCTTCATCATAGGTAACCATAGCTGGTATTATCATACTGTGGTAACCAGAATTCCTCCACTCTGATATATAATTGCCTGACAGTTTCTGTATGTTTATATGTATGTAAAGTATAGCATTTTATAATGTTTTTTGAAGCCAGGGAATCGGTATTTTTATGAAGTATTTGTTTTCCTTCTGTTGAAGACAGAAGTTTAATAAATGTACTTACACTAATGAACTTGTCTTTGAAATGACTTATAAGACTAAAAATCTACTATTTATTCCTAGGTTTATTGTTCTGTATTACTCATAACTTTAATTGTAGAAATTGTTTGGACCCCCTCTTTCCTAGTTTGGACATATTTTGTATAATCTTTTTATCTAGTTCTAGAAAAGGTACCTCTGAAACAGTTTTATTACAATTACTTCTTGAACCTATCTTAAAATGCCTGTTTTCAAGAGCTTTCTGTTTTATACATTATTAGGTACAGTTTCTGAACTGTCCCTTTGTCTTATTTTTTCACATTTTCCCTCATAAAATACATTTGTATTTCCTGTGTATTTATATTCCTTCTTTCTTTTATTGCCTTAACATGTTTACTAGCAATTTTTAAATGGCTGTATCCTACTACTGAGTGCAGCTATGGGCAGTGTTTTCTCTTGGCAAAAAAGGCTCTTTTTGTTAACACTCCACTCTTAGCTGTGTTCAGTGATACGATATAATCACTCTTCTTTCCAACTTCCCAATTTTTATCTCTTGATCCCTTTCTTGTTAGTTCTCCCCCCTGAATTTACTTTTTGTTTATTTCTTCATTTTTCTTGGTTCTTTCATCAAAATCCTTTAATTCATTAGAGAAAAAAAATATCTTCAGTACACATGGTACTTTCATTTTTCTTATCCTGATGTTTATAATCTACTTAACGTCTTGCTATGCTAAAACTCATGTGCATAGCAGTATACTTGTCTACTAATTGCTGCTTCACCTGAATACACTTGTGCCATTGTACCAATAGCTAACACAAATTTATTAGTGAATACACTCAAAGTAGAGTGGTGTAGTGATTAAAATGTTGGACTAGGATCTGGGAGATCCAGGTTTGAGTTCCCACTTTGCCAGGCGAGTTTACTTGTTGACTGAGGGCTAGTCACACACGCTCAGCTGAACCTACCTCACAGGGTTGTTTTGACTGGATAAAATGGAGAAGAGGAAAAGAGAAAGTGGAGGAGAGAACAATGTAAGCCACTTTGGTCCCTGCTGGGGAGAAAGGTCCGTTAATAAAATGAAATAATTTTCAGAATTCCAAAAAATCTATTGGAAAGAGGTTATTTTTTATGCTTAACTGCTGTAATGATTCTACACAAGAATGTGAGAAGTTATTGGTAGGAATAACCGTGGGCCCGAGGCTTGGACTACTGAACATAAACAGAAGTTTAAATAGATTCGGGTGGGTAGCCATGTTGTTCTGAAGCAGCAAGACAACTGTGACAACCTCTTCTCTGGGGAGGTCTAGTTTTACTTTAAAAATGTTCTTTCTGGTTTGTTTTACTCTGTAATCCGGCTGCCACCAGGAAAATTTTAAGGCTTTCCAAACCTTTTTCTATAATATTTCTCACTGGGTAGGTATACCGAGGGTCTGGGCTTTCATGAAGGTCTATGTGGTCTGAGGAAGGAATCTTTACTGAGCTGGTATACTTGAAGGAAATAGGATTTATTTAAAGAAAGCATAAATACGAAGGTAAACAATGTAAACAGTACTGGGAATGATTTGAACAAATGCTTGGTGTCTCTCACAAGCTTCTCCTTTTCTGACAGGGAGGTTTCAAGCAACTTTGTAACACTTTTCACTGTACTTTTTCCTAGACTCTCAGCTTTTAATTGTAACTCCTATAACACAGAACTAAATGTCACTCTTTTCACACACAGAATCAAATCCTTCCCACACAGGGATGTCTCCTTCCACTCAGAGACAGAACTTAACTCCACTTCTGCTTCTCTCACAGAAATCAGAACTCCAACTGCTTAACTGAACATCATCTGTCTGCCTAACTGTCTAAACTCTAACAGTCACTCCTGATAGACATTCAAATCATCCACACAGCATCCATTCCAAAACCCCTCCCCCTTTCTGTCACTCACCAATCACACCACTTGCCTGTTTCAACCACACTAGACTTTCACACAGCAAGGTAAACCAAACTTTTAAAGACACACACACACAAATAAACATGAAATCGTTACAACAACATTTGAGTCCAGTGGCATCTTTAAGATCAAGAAAATTTTATTCAAGGTATACGCTTTCTTCAGAAGTGTGCTTGCATATGAAAGCTTTTAAAGGTGCTGCTGGACTCAGACGTTTTGAAGTTTAAATGTTATGGCTGTAATTAGTCAGCAGAGGGCTCCCCTACAATATTTCATAACTGTTTAGGCTAGTGGAACAAAGGTGATAGAATACATGTGGGAAATGTGTGTGTTGGAAATATATAGTTCTAGTTTTGCATTATTTTTCATTATACTCCTTATAAAGGTTTCATTCCAAAAGCAAATACATACTTAACTTGATTTAGAGACGTAGGCTAAGCACTGACGCCCAGCACATTGTCAAGTTAAAGTGATCCCAATTTTGTGGCTTTGCTGTCTGGATGCTGCTATATGGAAACTGATTCTGTGCTTGTGTAATTGTTATACACAGCCCTAAACATTTGACTACTCTTGCCCCAAAATAGCAATTGCTCCTATATCTTCTGCAACACAAATCCTGATTTTTACATAGCTAGGGATGGTTGTCTCAGGTTTTGTGTCTAAAGTGTAAACTGGATCTTGACCACAAGGAGCCTCTCTGGCTTTGGCAATGTAAATTTAATGTTTGACTTGACATTTACCCATCTTCAGGGCAGAAAAAGTAATACCTGGCCATGTGCCTTTTGTATGATGCTATAAGGCCAACAGTGGTTTGACTTTAGCTTTCAAAAGCAGTGCTCTGATTCAATTATTTCAGACTACACCAGAATTCTTTCAGAAGTACAATACCTACAGACTCAATTCAAGCAAAGCATTGATGTGGCACATAACATTACCTCCTAAAGTGGTAGGGAGCTGCAAGCATATGAAAGGAAGCAGTCTGTCTAAACTGCCTTTATGTCCCAGCTTTTAAGGGATACGGTAAGATGCTCAACTTTTTTTTTCTTACAGTACAGTGGGTCACGAAGCTTATTGCCTGTTGTAGACGTGCCGTGGCGATTCCACTGCACCATTGAATAAAGAAATGGGGCCACCCATCGGTTTGTGCGCACAGGAAAAATCGCTAGGCAGGGTTACTAACACACGCAGCCCCTCCCGCTCATTGGCAGCCGGCTTCTTTCGTATGACCGCTGCACTACGCTTCGCCCGTGTCGTTCTCTTGAGTATCCATTTATAGGGAGGGGTGTTCACATAGCTAGATAATTTTCCCGGAACACTATTAGTTTGAATTGCTGGAAGCCAGGCTTCTTCAGCAGAGACGCGATCTCAGCCACCGCGAGGGGCCGGGACCGTCACTAGCGACGAGAAAACCGCCGCATTACGCAGACCCTCAGGCCGGAAATAACACAAAACACTGTCCCATGACGGCCCGCATGCGCAAGAGGGCCTTCTTCAACCACTCAGCGAGCGAACGAGGCGTTGCTGGGTTCATACGTAAGAGTCACGTGAGGCAGTGGCGGGCTCTTCTAAAACCGGAGGCGGACGGGCCCGTCGTTGTCGGGGGAGACTCCCGAGGTGAGTTGGTGTCTGTCGCCGCCTCCCCTTCTTTCACCGTGGCAGAAAGGGCGCCGGGGAGGTGGGCTTGTGTCGTTGGGCTACCTGACAAGGTGAGGTGGGGAATGAGAGGTTTCTTGGGTCGGCGTAACTTTCAGCCGTGAATAAACTGAACGGCGCTTCAAAGAACATAAATGCCTGCTGGGTCAAGCCCGTGGTCCAGCATCCTGTTTTACACAGACACCCGATCAGTTGTTCTGGAAGATGAAACTAACAGAGCGTAGAGGCTGAGGCCTTCCCCTGCTGCCGCCTCCCAGCACTGGTATCCAGAGGTTTCATGCCTCTGGAAACGGAAACCCTTCAGTCACTGTGGCTGGTCGTAATTGATGGCTCTTTCTTCCATGAGTCTCCCTAATCCTCATTTTAAAGCTATCTATCCTTGTGGCCATCACTGTGTCTTCTGGTAGTGAATTCCACAGTTTAATTACTTATTGAGTAAAGAAGTATTTCTTTTTTTCCCTTTTCTGAACCTATTCCCCAACAATTTGATTGGGTGCCCCTGAGTTCTAGTATTATGGGAGGAGAAAAAGCTCCCTTTATCCACTTTTTCCACCTCGTCCATAATTTTATAAAACTCTGTCATGTCTCCCATTAGCTGTCTTCTTTTTAAACTGAAAAGGTCCAGCCTCTCCATCCTTTTCTCATATGGAGGGTGCTTCAACTCCCTAACCATCCCAGCTGCCCTCTTCTGTGCTTTTCCCAGCTCTGCAATGTCCTTTTTGAAATAGAGACCAGAACTGCAGACAATATTCCAAATGAGGCTGCACCATAGATCTATATTATCTATCTATATTAGTCATTTTACTTTTAGTCCCTTTCCTAATAATCCCTAATATAGAGTTTGCCTTTTTCATTGTTACTGCACACTGGGTTGGCAGTTTAATTCAGATTTTCACAACAAACCCCAAGATTTATTTCAGTTTTAGTGTCAGCCAGCTCAAACCCCATCAGCATATATTTAAAATTAGGATTTTTAAATTCCAGTATGCATCGCCTTGCACTTATTCACATTGAACTTTCATTTACCACATTGCCCCCCCCCCAATCACCCAGTTTAGATGCCTCTCCAGTAGCTCTCCACAATACGCCTTGATCTTCAACATCCTGAGTAATTTGGTATCATCTGCAAACTTGGCTACTACACTAAGTCACAATTCCAAATTACTTATGGACAGATTAAATAGTACAGGTCCCAATACCAATCCTTTGGGACCTCACTGTTCCCTTTCTTCCATTGCACGGACTGTCTGTTTATTCCTATTCTTTGTTTACTGCTATTTAACCAACTTTTAATATATGAGAGAACCAGTCCTCTCATCTCATGATTGCTAAAGGTTACTCTGGGATCTCTGATGAAGTACCTTGTCGAAAGCCTTTTGAAAGTCCAAGTATATAATGCCTACTGGATTGCCCATATCCACATGCTGGTTAACCTGCTCATAGAACTCCAAGAGGTTGCTTAGGCAGGACTTCCCTCTGCAGAAACCAGAGTGATTTTTCCCTCAGCAGACTTTGTTTCTTGATGATCTTAATAATCTTTTAAATAGCAATTTCTACTAATTTACCTAGAACAGATGTTAGGCTAACTGTCCTGTAATTTCCTGGATCCCCTTTGGACCCCTTTTTAAAATTAGGGTGACATTTGCTGTTTGCCAATCATCCAGCACAGAGGCTGATTTTAGCAACAATTTACATATACTTATTAGTAGGTTAACAGCGGGGGGGTGTGTGTTAGAGAGGCTAAAGGAGTGTCAGTCTACTGCTCCTCTCTTGAATCTAATCATGATGTAACACTTGATAAAATGTAGTTTCCCAATAAAATAGTTGATTGACAGAGACTTCTATAAAGACTTTTTCTGGTATGTGCTGCCCTGAGCATTTGTACCTTTTACAGTCCATTGGCTTCAACAGCCTTAGAAGGGTGTGACTCTGCTTAGGGATACAAAATTAAAGTCGAGTATCAACTTAAAAACAAGCAACATTTTCCAGGTTACAAGCTTTTGTAAGTCAAAGCTCACTTCATCAGACACAAATGAGAACAGATCCATCAGCCCTTATATCTGGGACAGAAGGTGGGAGGGGTGTTAGAAAGGGATGGCACTGCATGAGTCTGAGGTGTGGTCCAGGATGTGAAGTTCATGTAGTCTCTTCTGTGAACCCACTAGGTAGCTGTAGGGCACCCCTTCAATATGGGATGACATTTGCCTACCTTACAGGATTTATGGGTTACAGCAAACTAATGTATGTGCAGCACTTTAAACACTAAATAAGTGTTATTTACACTTCTTACTTTTGTAGGAATATTGACGGAATACTTTGTGCCATGGCCATGCAAATGCAGTGTGATGAAAGTGCAGATTTGTCAACAGATGAGGGAAGCTTTGGTCCTCAACCCATTTCACGGCTGGAGGTATATCATCAGTGACTCCTTTGAGAGCTAGAAATGTTCAGGGCTGCTTCATGTATTAATATTTCTGTGTGTAACATGTTCCTAATCTATGTGCATGTGAAGAAAGATGCACCATCATGATCATGTTATAAAATATATACTGGGGGCTTATTTATTTAAATATTTATATTCTGCCTTTCCTTGGGGTTCAAGGTAAAACCACAGCTTAGGACTGTTTCAGGAAAAAATTATGCCATACTCATTTTCAGGCAGTGATTGAATTTTTATGTGAAATAAGTTTCCTTATTCTAAAAGTTTTAACATTGCCATGATGGTGGGTATGGTTCTGAGATGAAGGGCATTTTCATTTCTGTTCCTATTCTTACCAGTCTGTGAAGGAATAAAGGTGCAGACATGTGAGTTAATCTTAAATGCAGTTCTTTCTGCTTAATGTTTAAATTATTAAACATTGAAACAGTGTTTAAGAGTTGCTGGTTTATCATTAAGTAATAAGGAGTATTTATTTCAAATAACTATCAGTCTAATTCTTGAGGGAGGGCTAAATTGTATATCATAATGTATTATGCTGTTGAGCAGGCATGGTAGGAGAAAAACTTACTTTGCCTCATTGTTTGTAATATTCGTAATATTAGAATAAATAACTGAAATATATAAATAGAAGTATATTTTTCAGCTGCTTTTTTTTGGTTGAGTGGGATAGTAGCACTTCATATTTGTCAGATAATTGAAGTGTCTCACTTTTGTTGCAAATGCTTCATACCCAATAACCATGTTTCTTTTGCATAGCAATGCGGTATAAATGCAAATGATGTGAAGAAATTAGAAGAAGCTGGATTTCACACTGTTGAAGCTGTTGCTTATGCACCAAAGAAAGAATTGCTCAATATTAAAGGCATTAGTGAAGCTAAAGCTGACAAAATCTTGGTAATTATACTTTAAAGCTCTTAAAATATTAAGAAGGCTGCTTCCTGCAAACTGTGCTCCATGAACTTTTTCAAGTAAGATTATACTTGAAAATATTTAGAAATGGAAGGACCTTTTAACCTTTTCCTTGAAGTATTATAGCAATTCAAGGGATAGGAAAACACAGCAAAGAGGTGGAATAGTATATTCCTGTTGGGAGTGCTGCAGAGTATAATGGTGCACTTCTAATGATTCACTGATCAGCTCTGAAGTCAAAGACAAAAGATTCCATTGACTTTGCATCTAGATGCTACGTTGCACCTTGTTTAAATAAACAATTGCCTTTGTTGCTCCATGCAGATACTCTTGAGGAAACAGGGTTTTTTTCCTACTGCTGTTGTTTCACGGCTGTTTATTCTCTTTATCCCTTTCAGGCAGAAGCAGCAAAATTGGTTCCAATGGGCTTCACCACAGCAACAGAGTTTCATCAGCGGAGGTCAGAGATCATTCAGATCACCACTGGGTCCAAAGAACTTGATAAGCTTCTTCAAGGTGCAGATCATTATTTACAATTCTGGCTTTCTGTAACGTTATGTCCACCAAGTGTTTGCATTTATAATGGTGTGTAGATGCATATATGCAAAACTTGTATCACAGACAGATTCAAAGTGCTAATATTAGGCAGGAATCTGTTTTGAGACCACAAAATCTTTAAAGGGTAAGTTCTGTAGATGAGAGGAAGATCCTGGGTCTTTTGAAAAGGTGGTTGCCTAATTGGTTCATGAAAATACCTGCTTGTGTTATATTTCATAACGGGGGACCTATTCAAAAATATCTGTTGAGTAAAAGAGCACACAAAAGGTGTTGCATAGAGATCCATATTTAGATATTGAATATTACTAAATATTTGTAATGTATAGTTTTGGATTGCTATCTTGACTGACTTTGGGCTCTTGCAGCCCACCACTTGCAAAGCAGATCTTGGCTTATCCTTGTTGAATTTGCAGTGCTGCTTGCCATAATAGTAAATTTTCTTCCAGTACCTAATAGGACATTGTCTTCTGGTGGAAAGGATTTTTATGAGGTTTGTGAAGGAAGCCATTTTAAGGCCTTTGCTAAAGAAACGAGTTTTGGCAAAAGAAAATCTTGCCAGTTGCAGGCCCTGAGCTTTGTAGAAAGTATAAATATATAAACAAATATTTTAGTAACAGTAAATACGATCAAAAAGATCTGTTGCACGGTGTTACTGGTTATGTATTTTGTGCTTGGAACTTGTTGAGTTGCTTTTTCAGATGTAATCACACAGCAAAAAGCCATTGTGGAGAAATAAGAAACCCATATGACTTTGAGATTCCCATGAACTGAAATTCACGCACTTGTGACATATATCTGTTGTAGATATTTGTGAACTGAGTTTGAAAATCATTATTTCTTATTAAGGAGGAATAGAAACCGGGTCTATAACAGAGATGTTTGGAGAATTCCGCACAGGAAAAACTCAGTTGTGTCACACACTGGCAGTAACCTGCCAGGTAAGTAAATGAAACTCCTGTTGAAATAAAATATTATACAGAAAACACTCCTGCTCAGTGGGGCATAAGTCCCATCATGCAAGAGAACTATAGTTGTGTAGACCTGTTGACACTGAGGACTTGGTACAGGTTCACAACAGACTTGAGTCTGGAAATCCTGTTTACTGCTGAACAGGGCTGCAAAGACAAGAAAGTGCAATTTGCAGCGAAGAATTAGCGGATAAGCATCTTTTCCCATATCTGCCACTTTTATCTCTAATCCACTTCCTCCAGCCACTGTCACCATAATGAGGCAAATGTCTCAAGAACCTTGGCTGGTGGAGTAGCAGGTAGTGGGGGGGGGAGGCTGCACTGGAACATTGACTGTGGGGAAATAGTTTAGCATACATCCCCCTCCCGCTGCTTCTCCAGTACAAAAGTATACCTTCCCTTGCTTCTTTACAGCTGCTGGTTAATGACCCAGGCTGTAGAGGAGGGCTCTCTAGCAGATCATAAGTCATGGTGAAATCAAAGTTTCTGACTAATGGCAACCCTATGAGTTAGTACCTCCAAAACGTCCTGCTGTTAGCAGCCCTACTCAGCTCTTGCAAGCTGAGAGAGCTGTGGCCTCCTTGACTGAGTCAATCCATCTCCTGTTGGGTCTTTCTCTTTTCCTGCTGCCTTCAACTTTTCCTAGCATAATCGTCTTTTCCACTGAGTCCTGTCTTCTCATAACGTGACCAAAGTATAATAGCCACAGTTTGGTCATTTTAGCTTCTAGAGAGATTACGGGCTTGATTTGATCTAGAACCCACTTATTTGTCTTGGGGCAGTCCACATTATCTGTAAAACTCTCCTCCAACACCACATGTCGAATGAATCAACTTTCTTCCTGTCAGCTTTCTTCATTATCCAGCTTTCACACCCATATTTATTGTAAATTATAGTAATTTTCAATATTTATGCTGCTGAAATTAGCACAGAGAATGAGATGTGAGAATTATGACGAAGTGATCATAGGCCTGTGTTGTGGGTGGGAGTGCAGGGGGATTTCCACAGGCTGCCACCACTCTAGTATGGGTTTAACCATGGAGGGCTCAGAACACCCTCCCTATTTCATCTTCAGGCTAAGTTGGCCTTCTGAATGGCCCAATGAGACATGAGGACCCAGCAGCGTAACAAAAATATGGTTTATTAAACAGATTTGGTAATCACAGGGATGAATTAAATTAGATTAGCTAAAATACAAGGCAACGAACGGGAGCAGACAACAAAGCAACCAAGATCCCTAATGTGTCTACCTTTTTACTTCCCATTACACCAGGATGACTAGGTTCAAGGCCCCACTCATCCCTCTCTGGGTGAGGGATCACTCTGCCTGCAGCAGCTTCTCTACTGCTCTGCCTCCAAGAGTGAATGCCCTCCCTCCTGCTGCAAGGCCTTTTATGCTTTTTGCCCGGCACTACCTCTTCACCGGTGATGGGCTTCGGTTTTCCCTCTATTTCTCCCTTGCCCAGTCACAAGACAAAGAGGGTGCCTGGGAACTGTAGGCCCACAGCCTAGTCTAGCTGAGGCTTTCTGGGGCCTGCAGGCCTCAGTCAGCCTAGGTGCAGGATCATGACAGCCTGGCACTTAAATTTGGTGGCCCCCTTGGAAACCTATTGTGCCCCCCCCCCCCAAGAAATATGCCATGGCTCCTTGGGGTGGCCCACGTTGAGAACCACTGGCTTAGATTGTATTTTGGCACTATGAATGTTTTGGTGGGTTTTTCCAGCTTTATTCTAATTTTCGATATCAGCAAATCATGATGTGTACCACAATCCATTCATGGTCTTGTTTTAGCAAAGACGAGCTTCTCCAGCTTCTGCTTCTGATTACGGAATCTGTTTGGTTTCTGTATTGGCCATCTTGTGATGTCCACATATATACAGTCATCTGATCAGTTGCCTGAAACAGGTGCTTGCAATGAACAACTAGTTGGCTTCGCAGAATTCTATGAGTCGCTCTCCTGATTTATTTTGTGCTCCTAGCCCAAATCTCCCAACAGTATTTAATTCTACTTTGTTCTCCACCTTTGCACTCCAGTCGCCTATGATTAACAGCACATCTTGTTTAGGTGTGTGATCGGTTTCTTCCTAGAGACTTGCATAAAACTTTTCAGTTTCTTCCTCTTCAGCATCTATAGTTGGGGCATAAGCCTGAATGATGGTTATATATAGGCTTTCCATGAAGTCTGATTGATGTTATTCAGTCAGCCTTTGCATTATAGCTGCTGGCTGCCTGCGCTGCATCTCACCTCGCTATTAGAGCAACTCCATTTCTTCTTTGTTTGTCATTTCCAGAGTAAAACATTTTAGGATATTTTCAGTCAGAAAATTACGATTTAGTCCACTTTAGTTCACTCACTTCCAGGGTTACAATGTTTAAACATTCCATTTCTTGTCTTATGATTTTGAGATTACCATTTTATCTTTTCAGAGATCAAAGCACTTTTGTGACAATCTTGTCTTTTCTCCATTTCTTAGCTTCCCATTGATCGAGGTGGTGGTGAAGGGAAAGCCATGTACATTGACACAGAGGGCACCTTCCGTCCAGAACGCTTGCTTGCTGTGGCTGAAAGGTCTGTGATTGTACCCTGTGCTGCTCCATAAAGCTGTGTCACAATAGTGCCATCTACTGATGACAAAACAAATGTATGATAAGCCTTGTTTAAGTAGCTTGCATGTTACTGAAAATGTTTTACTGTTCGTTTTAGTCATCTTAAAAGTAAGAATAGTACAGAAGTGTACCAGTATGTGTATTTGTCTAACACTGCTAGTATATACATAACTTGCATTGTGCAAGTGTGGAAAATGTGTTCCTCTGGTGTTCCTCTGGAAAATCCCCTCTGCTGCAAAGACAAGTTTAGGAGGCAATGCAATTCCCACTGGGATAGACTTTCTCTATGCAGTAGTGCAGGCCTGTATTATGAGCTAAACAATGTCAACGTTTCTGGGGGTATATGTGCAAAACTTTCCGTTTCAGGCTATTCTAATAAACAGGTCAAATCAGCCCAAAATGTGTCAAATACAGCTTTCTGAATAGTGTAGAACAGAGGTGTCAAACGTGCAGCCCGTGGGCTGCATCAGGTCCGAGCAGGGCTGCAATCCGACCCAAGAGCAGCTGATTTTGTGCTGCTTTCTGTATCTACCATTGCAGCTCCTTCTAGCCATTCTCTCCTAGTTCCTGCTTCATAGGAGAGAAAGAAAGGCTTCCGTCGATTGGCTGAGGGCTCTTCCCCCCCTCCCCCTCTGGGTGGGGGGAGCCGGAGAGAGGAGAGAAAATGGCATTTCATGGGACTTCTAAGAAGACCAGCGTTTTATTTCAGGTAGAAGCACACTTTTTCTTTGGAGGGAGGGAGCCAGAGGGAGCACCCCAGAAAGAGAGAGAGAGAGTCCTTCGTTTAAGACCCAAAAACGTTTTTATCCCTGGTATTAGAGAGGAAGTCCCTCCCATGGAACTTGGAGAGATTCCCCCTTTCCATTTCTAACAGATGGGGGTGGGGGAGAAACCTAATAGTACAGTTTACATTCCTTATTAGTGAAAGGGAGCAAGGGTACAGCAGCATAAGAACATAAGAGACGCCAATGTTGCATCAGGCCAAAGGCCCATCCAGTCCAACACTCTGTCACACAGTGGCCAAAAATACCAGGTGCCATCAGGAGGTCCACCAGTGGGGCCAGGACATTAGAAGCCCTCCCACTGTTGACCCCCCCCCCCAAGCACCAAGAAGACAGAGCATCACTTGCCCCAGAGCCCCTAGCTATACCTTGTGGCTAATAGCCACTGATGGACCTCTGCTCCATATGCTTATCTAATTCCCTTTTGAAGCCGTCCATGCTTGTAGCACCCACCACTTCCTGTGGCAGTGAATTCCATGTGTTAATCACTCTTTGGGTGAAGAAGTACTTCCTTTTATCCGTTCTAACCCGACCGCTCAGCAATTTCATGGAGTGCCCACGGGTTCTTGTATTGTGAGAAAGGGAGAAAAGTACCTCTTTCTTTACCTGCTCTTTCCCATGCATAATCTTATAAACCTCGATCATGTCACCCCTCAGTCGTCTTTTCTCCAAGCTAAAGAGCCCTAAGCGCTTTAACCTTTCCTCATAGGGAAAGTGTTCCAACCCTTTTATCATTCGAGTTGCCCTTTTCTGCACTTTTTCCAAAGCTATAATATCCTTTTTAAGGTGTGGTGCCCAGAACTGCACACAGTATTCCAAATGAGGTCTCACCATTGATTTATATAGGGGCATTATTATATTGGCTGATCTGTTTTCAATACCCTTCCTAATAATCCCCAGCATAGCATTGGCCTTCTTTATTGCAGTCACACACTGTCTCGACATTTTCAGTGAGTTATCTACTACAACTCCAAGATCTCTCTCTTGATCTGTCTCTGCCAGTTCAGACCCCATCAATGTGTATTTATATTTAGGATTTTTGGCTCCAATGTGCATCACCTTGCACTTGGCCACATTGAACCCCATTTGCCATGTTGACGCCCACTTGCCCATCTTTGACAGATCCCTTTGGAGTGCCTCACAATCCTCACTGGTTTTCACCACCTTGAACAACTTTGTATCATCCGCAAATTTAGCCACTTCACTGCTTACTCCCATCTCCAAATCATTAATGAACAAGTTAAAAAGCAGTGGACCAAGTACTGATCCCTGCGGTACCCCACTGCTTACCATCCTCCACTGAGAAAATTGCCCATTTATACTCACTCTCTGTTTTCTATTAATTAGCCAGTTTTTGATCCATAAAAGGACTTGTCCTTTTATCCCATGATTTTTGAGCTTACTTAGGAGCCTTTGATGAGGAACTTTATCAAAAGCTTTCTGGAAGTCAAGGTAAATAATATCTATTGGATCCCCCTTGTCCACATGTTTGTTCACCCCCTCAAAGAACACTAATAGGTTAGTGAGACAAGATCTTCCCTTACAGAACCCATGTTGAGTCTGCCTCAATAGGTTTTGTTCATCTATGTGCCTACTAATTCTTTCCTTAATAATGGTTTCCACCAATTTACCCGGTATCGACGTCAGACTGACTGGCCTGTAATTTCCCGGATCTCCTCTGGAACCCTTTTTAAAGATGGGAGTGACATTAGCTACCTTCCAGTCCTCAGGAATGGAGGCAGATTTTAAGGAATGATTACATATTTTTGTAAGGAGATCCACAAGTTCACATTTGAGTTCTTTCAGAACTCTTGGATGAATGCCATCTGGGCCTGGTGATTTATTTGATTTTAAGTTGTGTCTCAGTTTTAGGACCTCCTCTCTTGTCACCTCAATCTGACTCAGGTCTTTCAACACCCCTTCTGAAATCAGCGGTTCTGGAGTGGGCAAGCACTTCTCATCTTCCACAGTGAAGACAGAGGCAAAAAATGCATTTAGCTTCTCAGCCATTTCCCTATCATCCTTCAGTACTCCTTTTACCCCTTGGTCATCCAAGGGCCCCACTGCCTCCCTGGCTGGTTTCCTGCTTCTAATGTATTTGAAGAAAGTTTTATCGTTGGTCTTTACGTTTTTCTTGTTTCTTGTTTCTTTTTTCTTTTTTTTCTTTCTTTCTTTTTTTTTTTGGATCCCCCTAAGGGGAATTTTTTATTGATTTTTTTACATACTACAACCGAAAATATAGGAAGGGGAACTACATCTAAGGAGAAAGAAAAATGACCCACTAATAACTAAAAACCCAAGAGTAGGAGATCAATACATCAGCTTAACTCAATGTTACTTTTAAAAAGCTATTAAAACAATGAACATAGTCGGCTATGCTAAGTTAATTGTCTTTTAACTGCTTAAAGAAACCCCCCGAGCATCCCAAAATCATTTCAGAGTTTTCAGGCACAAATCAGAGTCCTTCAGCCACTATTTATTCTTCTCTTTTCTCATCCTCAATTTATATGAACGTTTGGGGGCAGCCGCCCCCTTTTCAGAGGGTGAGTCCTCGTCCGAAGACCCCGAGCCTAACTCGTCATCAGATTTGCTTTCTTCTTCTTCCTTCTCGTCCTCAGCTGGTTCCCCGAGCTGCGTTCGCAGAAAATCACGTGCCTTAAGAACAGAGTCAATCTTTTCTTTTTTGTCGTGAAGTTTGAAAATGTCGCCTTCTGGGATTAACCATCTGTAACTGATGCCATTTGTTTGTAGAAATAGGATTCGTTCTTTATCATTCTTTCTCTTCTGTCTTATGTCAAATGGGATGTCTTTTAAAATCCTGATATTGTTGTCCCCAATTTTCAAGGGAGTTCCCGAAGTTGCTTTCAGAATAGAGTCTCTCACTTGTCTCTTCGAAAATCTGACTACTATTTTCCCAGTCAGATTATTTTTCTTGATGTATGAGGAATAGGATCTATAGACCACATCCATCTCGCTGTAGAGGTATTCCGCTGTCAAATCTGTCATTGGGGCTATTGCTTCACTCAGCCGTTGCTTCAGATTCTCTCCTTTAATTTCCGGGACCCCTTGAAACTGTAGGACCAAATTGGCTTTCTCCATTTGCAACCGCAAAAGTTGTGACTCTTCCTTGGCTTGCTTCATTTCCAGCTTTTGCACCTTTTTCTTAACTTCTTTAGTATTGGCATCCACTTCCTTCACCTTCTCCCCCATTTGCTCCGTTGCTTTTAAGGATTGAGTGAGTCATAGCTGCTGTGAAGCCAAACTTTGGCCAATTATTGACAGTTGTTGCTTGATATTGGTCATCTCATCCCGCAGACTGCTGTGAAGCCAAACTTTGGCCAATTATTGACAGTTGTTGCTTGATATTGGTCATCTCATCCAGCAGAGGGCGCAAGGTATCTGCCAACATTTTTGAAAGCTCAGTGGTCTCTTCCATTCGAGGACTACCCACTTGTTTCGCTTTCAAAAGTTTTTCTTTCTCCGGTTTCTTCCCCGCTATCTTTTTGGATTTGTTTACTTATCAAAAAAGTTGCTAAAGTCTCTGATATTCGCCCAAACACTTGTCTGCGCTCTGGTAAGTCTCTGAAAACAGTTTCAAACGCTTATTTTTCCACTCCCCCCTCTTTATTCCGTGTTTTCGTTTATACCCCACTCGCTTCCCATTGCTCTTTAAGGGGGGCAGCTTTCTTTTTAAATCTTCATGCTCACTTCAACCCGACTCACAGTTCGTTGTTGGCCAACCGGCCTCACTCGGCATCGTTTTATTTCGCCCAATTTCCAACGCTTGTACCGGTCAGCAGCACTTGTACCATACGGTCACTCAGCGGCAGGACCTTTGGGGCGGAGGAGCGCCTCGATTCTCCGGCATCACGCCATTGAAGAGGTCACCCCTCAAAAGCCCCCTGGCTAGGAGCCTTTTACCAAGGCTCCGGGGGGGTCGCGACCTGTCGCACCCCCTCCTACATGCTGGTGTGCAGTTTGCATCCCCAGGACATCCAGGAGATGCGTCTGCCTGCGTGTCACCATAGACCAGAAGTCAGTCTTTACGTTTTTCGCTATATGCTCCTCATATTCCCTTTTTACCTGCCTGACCTTAATGACTTTGTGACAGGGAATGAGCTTTCATGAATCACTGCTCACTTCTTCAGATGCAACTGGAATGTGAGTCCATCTGTCCTTATATCTTGGAGAGTGAAGTGATTTCAGACGCTAAAAGAGAATAGCAGGCGTTGGTAATGAGAGAAGCAACCTAGGTCTCAATTTAATCCAGGAGTTTAAGTTCTCTTGAGATTCATGATCAGTTGCAATTCAGCAATCTCTCTTTCTAATCTCCCTTTGAAATTCCTTTGTAAGAGAACTGCTACTCTTAGGTCAGCAACTGAATGCCCTGAAAGATTAAAATGTCCCCCCACTAGTTTTTGAATGTTGTGGTTTCTAGCAGTGGTAGAAAGAGTAAGAGTCCAGTAGCACCTTTAAAGAGTAACAAAATTGTTGTAGGGTATGTGCTTTTGCGAGTCACTGCTCACTTCTTCAGACTTATTTCCATTTATTCTTTGCATCTTCCTGGACTGAATCCTCCTGTTCCAAGTTGAGATCTAGGTTTCCTGTCTCAGTACCAGTGCTGATATCTCCATGCCTCTGTATATCACACCAATGCTGATATCTCCACCCCTCTGCATATCACACCTAATCCAATCATGCCTGCTATTGCCATTCGGCATCTGAAATTATCTACAGTACCTTGTGTTATATTTTATGGCACACATGGCCCGGCCCGACAAAGTGACATTTATGTCAGATCTGGCCCTTGTAACAAATGAGTTCGACAGCTCTGGTGTAGAAGTATCGTTATTTTGAGAGACACTTTGTTTTCCATGTTTTTAAAGGACAAGTATGTAAGGAATTAGGTAAGTTTGACTTTGACCCTTTTCAAACTGCCTTTGTATTCCATTTTAGTAACTGGTTGCTAATGGAGTTCAGACAGACCCATTTTAGTAACTGGCTGCAAGTGGAATTCATTTACCTGTTCATATAAACCCACTTGTGTCGGGTTAGCAAATGTGGTTAAGCTGCTTTTGAGAGAAACTGCTTTTTTCCATTTTCAACCCCTTCGTTGCACTGCTGAATTGCTGTGGTGTGCTGTTTAAAAATGTCCATAGAGCTTCCTACAATACCGCTTCCCCCCGCCCTTTTTCACTGTGCAGTCTTCCTTGGACTTTCTTTTTAACATTCTAAGGTGAGTGCTATAGCACATTGAGATACATTCACTCCAGTCAGTGCATCTCAATGGTGCTGCTATAGCAGTTTAGTGCTATAGTGCTCACCTTAGAATGTTTTAAAAAGTCAGAGGAAGATTGTGCAGCGAAAAAGGGCAGGGGGCGGGAGAAGTGGCACTGTTTGAAATTACCATAGCACTTCAGAGATGGCTCCTTAACAGAAGGAAATTTGCTCTATGAAACCCACATCCCTGTATCACTTTACTCAAAATCGGGCCAACAACTGATAACATCCAGTTTAGAACGGTAATGTGAAATGGACCCTTCTGTGCACCAGACTTTGCTTTCTAGGGCACATGGCACTATTCTAGCAATTTTGATATGCTCCTTTTAATTCCAAAACTACTATGTATTTACTGATTGATTTAAAATATTAGCTGCTTTTCTACATTATAAGAGCTCAAACTGGCATACAATGTAAATAATAGAAAACACAATAAAATACAAAAAAACCCAACAAAATCAATAATTTAAAACTGCCAGTAGAAACTGATTGAGTGCCATCATGAATAAAACCTTCTTCTGCTGCCTCCTAAAGGTCGAGTGAAAGGACAAGGCACACCTCCCTGGGGAGCTTATTCCAAACTCCTTTTGAGGGTAGCCCCATGTAGAGTTCATTGCAATATTCCAGTCTAGATGTAACTGAGGCATGAATCATTGTGTGACGATAAAAAACCAGAACTAAATGCTCTGCTTGCTGCTGTTTATAACTAAAGAAATGTCAGATTTTTTTCCAGTACCATACTCTGATGTTTTTTAAAAAGTGGTGAACTACTAATGGGTTGAGATAACATACTGGTGACTTAATTTATTGGGATTATTTATTTAGAGTTTCTTCTGAGATCCTATTAAGTCATTTAAAAGTGGGCAAGGTTCAGAAAACTAGTGTAGCCACCATATAGATCCTTTGTGAATATCTTTCACTAAGAGTATACTAAAGGATGAAACAGGATTATATATTACTGCCTAAAATGCAATCTCAGTTCTTCCTTTCTTTTTTGAAAAACCAAGATAAACTAAAATGAGAGAGACTTGTGTGGATTTTTGGCAACACAAAGACCAACCTACAACATTGTTGAATGCAGAGGGAGCAGCACACCAAAAAATTGCTAGAGGGGAGGGAGGGAGGGATGAGGCTTACAATATGAAATAGTCTGGAACAGGCAGGGTATCAAACCTGACCAGATGGCCCTCAAAGACAGTCTTGCCTTTTGTTTGATTTGTCTCCCTAGGTATGGCTTATCCGGCAGTGATGTGCTCGATAATGTGGCTTATGCTCGAGGTTTTAACACGGACCACCAGACACAGCTCCTATACCAAGCATCTGCTATGATGACAGAATCAAGGTACCAAATGTAGCATGTTCAGAGAGGGCTGCATCCTTTAACTTAAGAGTGCCACTATCCTGTAGCTTAAATAACTCCACAATTGCAACATTTTATACACATTCTCTGAAGATGGCAGGACAATGGCCTAATGAGAATCTCTGACTTTTTTCAGCCATTTTGATAAAAGATTGCCTTTGAAATATGCCTCATCCTTGCTGCAACCAGTTTTCCCAGTTTGCAATAGTGCTCTGTTACCATAAAAGAAATTCTCAGAATTTCTAAACATTTCAATTAAGTGCACTTCGGTAAGAAAAAGATGGCAGCAAGACTTGATGCCTCTCTTCAAAGAGATGTGTGTGAAATATGTGGTGAACAAATAAAAGACAATGGGTTGGATCCAGCCAGATTTTTCAGTCAGTCTCACCAAACCCCCTCACTGCAGCCCCCATCCCACAAAGCTTTTGATCACGCAGGTCCCATGATCTTTAGCGGAGCTTTTTTGGAGGTCAAAGAGGAGAGGACCCTGCCTTCCTTTTTCATCAACTAAAAAGCCAACTGGATCCCACAAATCTTTTTTGTAGTGTAAAAAGTAAATGGGATTGAAAGCCACCTACACGTACGTAAGGTCTTGTCGTAACAGATTACTGGACATATAAAGGACATTTTAGTTGAGCCTTTGTGCTTTCCATGCTCTGATCCAGCCGTAGGATGATCTCTACATTTGAAAGAGAACTCAGGCATAACTGGCCACCATACCAGAAGCATACTTCCTCTTACCACCCAGGTAATGTCCCGTGTGAGCCAAGTGCTTCATGGTAACCCGATTCACCCTAGAGAATGCAAATAAAACACTGAACAATTATATGTGTATGTGGAGGGGCATCCATTCCACTGTGCAAAGTCCACTTCCAGCCCAAGAATAAACGAACCAGGCCTAAACTAATCAATTTCATATTCAGGTTTTATTTGGAATAATAGCCACCATTCTACCCTACATTATACCCAGGTAGACAGAAATATGTAGGTTACACATTGGAATTGCTTGATATTGTATGCACCCTTTTCTTGTACAATGCAGGAGTCTTTCCAATCTCACAAAGAATATTGTATTCAAACAGTCTAGCATTAAGTAAAATGGGCCTACTGACAAGCAACAATTTGTAGAATAAGAAGCAAATGAATGATTTTAGAAAATATCTTGGGGGGAATAGAACATACATTTACAGATAAGAAAATAAACACCAGAATAACATGCTAATTTAGCCAGAATTCTGAAAATAGCAATAATGTCTCGGTTAGACCAAGATAGTAATTGTGTAGAAGGTCACCTGTCAGTTTGCCAGTAGACAACATTCTTTTCAAGAGCAAAATATATGCTTTACTCATACAGCATCTAACAAGCTGAGTTTGGAACATACATTCCCACAACCTTTTCCGCAGCTGTATTTTTTTTAACATGAGGAAGAACACAGTTTTCAAGGACTGATACTGTATACCACCTGGAGTTTTGAATCAATCACAATCTTACTACTTTAAATTTTTGATGAGGAGGGATGATAGGCAGTGTGCGTTACTTTAACAATGAGCATCTGATAGTAGAATTGAATGGACATAGAAACGAGATAGTACAATAAAGAAATGAGCGTTTCACTGGCTGAAAACTTGGTAGGTTTCTACCTGGTATAGCTTTGGGTATAGACCACCTAAATCTACTTTAGAACATACTCTGTTACCCTTCTTGTCTGTCTCTGACAATGATTAGGGTGTTCTGTTTGAGGCCAAGAGCTAAAATGAATACATATGAATATATGTATGTTTGCGCGCCATGTTTCCCAGGTATGCTTTGCTGATCGTGGACAGCGCCACAGCTCTTTACCGGACAGATTATTCTGGCCGAGGTGAATTGTCAGCCAGACAGATGCATTTGGCCAGATTTCTGCGCATGCTTCTTCGGCTCGCAGATGAGGTAAACTACTCTGACTGCATTTTATTATTTTATTTGGTTCCATTTGCAGTATTCTCCAGGTAGTCATAGGGATGAATGTGATTATGTTCTCTAAGACCACCTGGGGCACTTTCTATTTCTAGCAAAGAAGCTGCAGTTAATTTTATGCCTCTCTTGTGACAGTTTGGTGTGGCAGTAGTGATTACAAACCAAGTGGTAGCCCAGGTAGATGGTGCAGCAATGTTTGCTGCAGATCCCAAGAAGCCTATTGGAGGGAACATCATTGCACATGCTTCAACCACCAGGTAAGACAGAAGAATACTTTTCTTAGGTTCTGGGAGGTTTTCTGATAGATTGGGGGTGGGGAGGAGAAGGTAGTTAATGTGCAGATAATAGATATAGCGCAAGATGATTTTTTTTGTTTGTTCTTGACCTGTAGATGGCCCTAGCTCTAATACGTGCTTTAATTCATTTCTTTTAGACTGTACCTGAGGAAAGGTCGGGGTGAAACAAGGATATGTAAAATCTATGATTCACCTTGTCTTCCCGAAGCAGAAGCTATGTTTGCTATTAATGCTGATGGAGTGGGAGATGCTAAAGACTGAGTAACCCAGTGTGTTCGTCTCATAAGAATGCACTAATCAAAGGCAGCTGTGCTTCTGCTGATGATTCTTTTTCTTCTGCTGATGATTCTCCTGCTCAAGCTTTGCTCAGACTGAACATCAGATCCTCCTTTTTGGAGTTGCTATATTTAGCTTCAAAATAATTTTAAAAAACCCTTGGACCTCTTGTCCTGTTGAGACACACCTCTTGACATTTTGCTGAATTGAATCCTTTCATTCTTAATGCTGTAGTGTGGCAAGAGCGCTAAGAAATGCCCTGTTTGTCAAGTGTATGCAGGACTGATGGCTACATGAAGAATAAAATCATGAACTTTTGCCTGACTTTAGTCAAATGGCTACAACTATGGAACAAGTGTCGAAGACTGGCATGTTAAGGATTGGTAAAACTTGGGGGAAAGATTCTTTGTGGCCATTGAGAATGTGCTGTGTCTTAACTATTATTTTGTTTGTTTTAAATCTATTTAGCATTGACAGAATCTGAGCAAAGAAAAGAAGCTTTGACAATAATATATTCTGAAATTCAAGGAGCTTCTAGTTCACATTAGAGACCTTTTTTTGAAACTGTGAGCAGAAGAGTTTTTGAACTGCATCTTCAAAACTAAAATTATCAGATGACACTTTATTTTTGTAAATATATCTTCTAAATTGATTCAGTCTTTGCCTTACCCCCCAAAAGTTAGGCATTGGGTTACCCTTGTGATAAAAACTGTAGATGTCTTTCTGACAGCATTGGTGAGGTCATATATTCTGCCTGTAAATATTTCCAAGACATCTTGATTGTGCTGGCATTTAAAAATGATTAAAGTAAATCTTATGCCTACATACGGCTGTGGAAATTTCTGCCTTATTTATTTACCTATTTGTCTCTGTTATGAAGATAGTCATGCAAAACAGATTAACATTAGGTTCAGGTGGATGAACAACAACTAATATAAATGGTCTGGGACATGGTCTGGATCTTAAATTTTGTGCCTTGTATTATGCAAATGTCTGTAAATGTTTCCTCTGCAATATTTTACAAATCTGGAAGACTCACCTCATTAGGGCAAAGAAGAGTAAGCCAGGAAGAAATACACAGATCTGTAGAGGACTGACAGAAGAGAACAGATTGGATTTATACCCTGCCTTTCACTCGGAGTCTCAGAGCGGTTTATAATCTCCTTCCCTGCCTCTTCCCACAGCAGACACCCCATGAGGTAGGTGGGGCTGAGAGAGCTCTTTGAGAACTACTCTTGAGAGAACAGCTCTGAGAGAACTGTGGCTTGCCCAAGATCACCTAGCAGCTGCATATGGAGGAGTGGGGAATCAAACCCGATTCTTCCAGATGAGAGTCTGCGCTCCTAACCACTACACCAAACTGGCTCTTGGAATAAGAAATAAGCTGTTCAGAGGACTGATCTCCCTGCAAGAAATGAAACCTTTTTGAACTGATGGATGCTGGGGTTTTATGCCTCCACAAAGTATGTAAAAATACACAAAACATGAATACTTCTATGTGTTGAAGAGTACTACGAGACTGCTGCTAATCTCCCACATGCACACAAGATCTTGATGTACACATTGGGAGACAATGCACAAATGACCATAGAAGTGCACTTTAGGGAAACCAAATGTCAGATAAAGCCCACATGAGACAGTATTCTTAAGTATTACCTGCTGAAGGATTTCCCATGCCAAACATCCTGAATAAGTTGTCTATTTGTTCATAAATTCTTACGCACCCACTTTTGATTCTTCATGCTCTAGGCCTGGGATATCACATAAAGGCTCTTGAAAGGAGCAGTGTTATGGAAATAAACAGAGCAGGATAGTGTGATGACATTACTACTTAGAAGAAAAAGAAGGTACAGAATGTGCAACTAGCTCAAAAGTGCCTTGTCTGCTGACCAATGCACCTGCGAGGCACATGGAGGCAGTTATGGGCCAATGGAAGCAATATAGGTTCAGCACCTATATTGTTCCTACCTTCTGAGAAACTTCTTTCTTGTGCTTCTGATTTGCAGCTGCGACCCCTCCATGTCGTCGTCCCCCCCCCCCCAAGTGGGGAAATTTGGTGCACAATGGGACCAGCTGTCTGGTTGTGAATAGAGGTTACAAACAATGCAGGTGGTGATGGGTGAATTGGCCTTTTAACTTAGCAGTAAAGTGTGTGGTGGGCCACTGGCAGCTTAGTAGCAGCAGCAGCAGCACCAAAACATCCACTTGGCTCAAATGTGGCCCACAGTAGCAATGACTATACCTGTTCTCATTATTGCTGCAGCCCAGGTCTGAGCTGAGCAGACCAGCTGGCACTGCAGGGCCTCTTAATTCAGCTTGCTCCAGGACAGTTAGCAACCCAGTCTGCCCTTGCATGTATGCTTGTTTGTTTTGCAGTGGCAGCCCAGATCGTCAACATGCTTTGAACCCTAGCTGTGACTAATTTGAAAGGCTCCTTATTAGCAAGACTTTAGACAGTACCTGCATGATACTAGTTGTATTGCTGTAGGAGTTCTCAAGGACTAGAAGGCAGGAAGTGGAAAAGTCTGAAGTGGTTGGAGAAACCAAAACTTTATTCTTCGCGAATGAGTTTTTGCATATGCTCCCCCCCCCCCCGAGTTATTTGACAGTTGGAAGAGAGAGGAGGCCTAGACTGGCCCAGACTGCTTTTGGTACATTGGTTGAGTTACCAGTCACGAATATCCCGCTTGCCACTCTTTGGAGGTCTGTCACATCTGCTGTACATATCCTGAAGAACTGGCAGCACCAATGACTGTGCAATTAGCATGGTTGTACACAAATTAAAATGCTGCCTAATATACGTGAGATGCAGATGAACCACAGGGCCAGAGGAACTGAGCCAGACTCCCAGTTGGAGGAACAAATGGGTTGTCTTGCATTGTTGAGAAATCTGTTCTCATTTCTAGAAAAGAAAACCCACATCTTGTAACAAGTTTGTGGGCAAGGAGTTGGCTGGAGTTGACACTGTGTGTGGTCAGTAAAGTCTAGTTCTTTGCCCAGCTTTCAAGAAGCACACGTTGATTTTTTCCATATGTGGACTTAATTGGTATAAATATAGAGGACATGCTAAGACATGCTATCTATCTTTTAATTTGGCCAGTAATGGGCTACAATCAATTGATGGATGCTTGCATTACAATTGCATTATGTTTACAGCCACAGATAGTGATTTACTGGAGCCCGGGGGGGGGGGGGGGGGGGGGGTAGGGAAGCTCCTGTCTGTGGCACAGCAAGCCATTTAGGTTGGCACACAGGGCCAATTCTCTGCCCAAGCAACCCAGGCGAGCCCAATTTGCTGGCAATGCCACTCTGTCGAGTGTCAGTTTGTGAATCTCTGTTATATCTGGACAGAGGCTTTTTACCAGTTCTATGTACACTTTCTTCTGGCAGTTGCCATGACTATGTATAACTGTGCATATATATATACCAAATGGTGTCATTCTGCTAAATTTTATTTTTCTTGCTTGTGGCTGGTTAGGAATAATAATGAGGGCATTTAGCAGCTGGGTCTGACAGACACCGTTTAAGACCTGTAGGTCAGAGGAGAGGAGGGAGAGAGAGAGACAGCATCATGGGATGACATCGGAGAGAAATTTTAAATTGTGGTGTTGAGTTTGAGCTGCCAAAGATAGGGCAGAGTCAGACCTTTCCCCATTGTTCTCCTTCATGGTCAGGCGGGGCTCAGTCCACTAAGGTATTCTGCATAAGCCCCATTTAAATGAATGGGAGCTGTGCAAAAGTGCTAGCATGCTCACAGTTCACCTCTATGCGAAAGAACAATTATGGGTCTGTGAATATATGCTTGCATTTGGGGGCTCACCCATCTCAAGGACAAAGTATTTAAATGCATCTTTATATGCAGGCATACATTATATTGAAATATAACAGTAAAACTTCACTTGCACTAGTTTAACCCTGAAGCCTGTGTTCTTAATAAATATTGTTCTATTGATGGCCTGTCTTTTCACTGATTAGTGCTTTTTAAAATAAATAAATTGGGCTGAGTTACCAGTCCCAGTGCACATAGCTTAGTGGTGATTTGAATGTGGGTTTCACATCTTCAGATGTTAGCCTCAGCTCCATGCACACATGTGCATTTAATGGTTTTCAGAGCAGCTCAGCCTCCCACTGCTAGAAAGTTGGGCCCCTGCATCGTATAGTCAGGGCAGGCCTAAGGATTAAAGTCAGTCATACAGATGGAATCACTAACAGGCCATTAAAGTTCCTAGTACCTGGTGGTTCTTAGAAACTGGTGACAGTTTCCCCAGTATCTTTTGCCGTCTGTCTTCTCTTGCAGATGGAAAGTAAAGAGTTAAGCGGAGCCTGTCACATGGTGGAAGCCGGCTGGAAGGAAGAAGGCAGGCAGTCACGCAATGAAAACAGCACTGGCTCCAAGGGGGCAGGGTTCTCACGCAGTGCCGTGTAACCATGTCATCTATCTTGTCACGGTCCAGGCCCTCCTGTCAGCATTAATCCACACCGACAGTGGATTAATCTTCCCCTCACACACACTCCCCTCCCAAGGGTGAGACAGTAATTGGGGGGGGGCGGTTTTCCTGTTTCTCAGCCAAGAAGCCTCCACTCCTCTGGCTCACACTCGTCCTGAAATAACAGCTAGTTATGAGGAGCAGTGATTATGTCTCAATTTTGCATGCCAGAAGGAACTTTTTCATTTCAATTCCTCCTTTTCATTGGCAAGACATCCTGATGGTTCTCCCTCCTTCTCCACCAACACAGAAACACATTCTGAGGGGATTTTGTTACAGAAATGGAAGTCCAGACAGTCACCAATTTAAGAAAACCTACTTTGTGTTCTTTGAACTTTACATGGAAGATGAAACATGAGGGGATTAATCCAGGGTAGTGTTTGGGCAAAGCCCTTGTGTAACCGTGGCCCAGTGATTTAAACTGGCATCTACCTCTTCAAAAGCACAGAAGATAACAAGGTAGGAAGGTGCTTAGACCTGACTACAGCAACTTGGTAGCACTTTGTATTAAAGTCTCCCATTAAATATGAATTTACAAAGTTTGAATGAGTTTGGGAAATGGCTCTGAAGGCACTCTTCTGGAACCCTAACGCAACAGTATTAATTCTACTTTAAGTTTGAAGCCTAGAAGCCTGCTCTCATGTAACAATGAAATACATTTTCCCATCCTGCTCAAAATCCTCATGCCTATATTCAGTACTAGCTGTTGTTGGTGTTGGGTAAATTAATAACATACAGGCTTCAAAAGATGACACACAATGTTATTTTGTTTGACTGTGTGGAAAAGCAGACATGTAGCTGCAGATAGTATTTGACATCTGGATATCTCACATCTGGAATTTTGTATGTCTAGTTGGAACTGCAATAGAAATTAATAGTTAACAGCTTATGACATCTTTTTTAAAAATGAGGTTAGGTTTCAAAGTCATAATTTGAAATGTAAATTACTGATATTTTTTTTAAAAAACATCAGCATTTCAGTTCTACTCCATTCTGGTCTACAGTCTTTTTAACTGGCCTTTCTCTGAAACAGGATATGTTACAATGATATTAGAACATCATAAGCTAAAAACAGGTATAGCCAAAAGATGATACCAGCTAATCTAACAGTTTTCCAGCCATGTCTTCATGTAATACTACCCTAAGACAGTCAACAAATGTTCTTGGTA